ATTTAATGTTTCCCTATTTTAAGATCCTGAAACTCCTGAAAAGTTAACTGCAGTAATGGAAATAAGGTCACTATATTGAAAGTTTAATAATAAATTAATAAAAAAATCTCTAAAGATCAATATAAAAATATAAGAAACACCTTAAGTGTTTTGGTAAAAAAAAAAAAAAATGCTGAAGAGTAATATTATGTCCTTTATAGTGTCAATAACTAGCGTTTTACCTTACACTTTTGTAGCACTGATTCTAGTTTCATTTTCAGAGTTGCCAAGTATGGGATAATAAAGTGGGGGCGGGAGTTACCGGAACCATTTGAATCCCTACTCCTAGCCGCTTTCACAGCTCACCCCCCCTGGCCAGCTCACATTCCTTTCGAGTATAAGATAGAAATCGACGGACTTTACACTTGTAGGGAATTTTTCAGATACGGTTTGAAAAATAAAAAATTGCTAACATGTGAAACTAAGTAAGTACCCACCGAGATCGTATTTAATTTGAACCTTATTAGGTATTATCTACACATTTTTGGGTATTATAAATATTATTTTAGGAAAATGAAAAAGTCCTGATTTTTTCATTATTGTCCTGCATTTTCTCAACACATGTCCTGCGAATTCAATTTTCAAACCTAGCAACCCTACTTCACACACTAGTGTGTAAAGTAATGTCAATGACAGATGTCGACCTGTCAAATTACTATTTTTCTGGTAAATAACTTCACGCACTAGTGCGTAAAGTGAAAATACTTTACGCACTAGTGCGTGAAGAATTTGTCTAAATTTATTTTTTTACACATATTTGATTGGTAGTAGAAAAAAATTTGTATGCAACACGTGCGTAAAGCACCTTTTTTCACTCATGTGATTGTCGCACTCGCCTTCGGCTCGTGCGTCAAAATTCACATTCGTGAAAAAAGGTTCACTTTACACACTTATTGCATAAATAACTATTTTCCACTACCGCGCGTAAAGTACTTACGTTACGCACCTTTTAGAAGACATAAAATGTCACGCACCAGTGTGTAAAGTAGTTTTTTTACTACTAACCTGAGAAGTAATCATTAGGTCTGTTTCTGCGGAAATCACAAACCAGTCAGAGCAAATTTCATTGGTAGAAAACAGTTAGAAACAGTCAGAAAACTAGTTTCAACCAATGAAATTCACTCTGACTGGTTTGTGATTTCTGCAGAAACAGAGAATAATTTGAGCACAGGATCAACGGCACAGGTTTCAAACCTATTTTTTATTTTCTACTAGCAGTAGTAAAAAAAATTCTATCAGCTGTATGCAACATCCTCTTTTAACTTGAAAACGATTTTTAAAACTGGTCACTTTTAAAAATGTGTATTCTAAGCCATACAAAATTTTAAAGGTACCAGTTTTAAAAAGCGCTTTTAAGTTAAAAGAGGATGTCGCATACAGCTGTATATATCCCTCGGTAGAGAAAGTCATAGGCGCCGGAACCATAGGGGCAATGGGGGCTTGAGCCCCCATAGTGATTTTGGTATTGTATTGTGATGATCCAGAAATTTGACCCGATAATTACAAAGTCTTTACTGTAAAAAAAAAAAAAAAAAAATTTATCAAATAATCAAAAATTCCGGTATTTTTAAATCTGTATCGATAAATTAAAATAAAACAAATTAACGCTACGGATCTCGACACACAGCACGTGTGTCAGCAAAAAACCGATCAATGAACTTGTTAGCCAAGGCCTTTCCGCTTACCAAAAATTGAGTCGAATGAATTATGGCATTCTTGAACCCAAAACGTTTTGACCTCAATAAATCAGATTATTGCGACATAATTAATTGATTTTAGACCAAAAATAATATAAAATTCCAAGGAAATTGCATCATCTTAATTGCATGGACACAGAATTTCGGAGGGGAAACAAAAGATATAAAAAGCCGCGTTTGAGTTGCCGAAAGTACAGTTGCCAGTTATCCGTTGAAGTTATCCATTGTTACCAGTCCAGTCTGTCTAGTTTCTCGAAAAGTTACCTTTATGACGTTTTGCCTCGGGTATGATTTAACTTAGAAAATTTACGAAAAATCGTGAAAGTAATAACATTTGAAATTCGTTCAATAATTTATGTGCGTGCTAGCTAAATATTTTGAGTAATTAATTAAGTAATTTTACATGTGTTTTATGGACAAAATGTAAGTACTTTACTCGGTACTTTATAGTGACAAGATTTATTTTGATGAACATGACTTTGTGTGATTAAACTCTGACTTTCATTGCATAAAAACAAACTGAGTGATTTTTACTAGAAATACTTTTGAATTTATAAACTTGAGGATTGTATTACTAGAAAAACTTTTGACTGTTAATTTAACAGTGGAACTTTATTACCTTAAATAGTAATAACTCGAGTGTTTTATAAATGGAACATTATTGCATAACTTAATTACCTTCAGATATAATGACATTTAATGGTGAAAAGAAAAATATGAAGAGTACTTACAATGCATTTAACAATATACCATTTTGAGTGGGACTTATGAATTAAACAGTTGAATTTATTAGCTAGGCATAGGAATCCGAAAATTAGAATTTGTTCTGATAAACTATATTAACTGCAATAGGAAATTTTGAAAAGAAATTTGATGACATAAAATAGTAATGTTTTCGTAAAATATTGGAAACTTGTTAAAAGGAAACTTATATTAGAATTTGTTCATGAAATGGAATTGTCTTAGAATATATGGGAAAGCTGTTAAAAGAATTTATTGTTCATGAAAGGAATTTTGCATTAGGGAGTTTATTTTACAAGTAGAAGTTATTGTAAGATTTTATGAGAATAAATTAGTTGATAAACAAATAGGTAATTATTTTGGGTTTTCATAAGTAAAAGACTTGGAGATTTTAAAGAAGTATTTGATTAGGTAAAGGATAGTTATTAGGAATGATTCGGATGTAGTGAAATGAGTTGAATTATAATTTATGAGAAATAGTATGAATAGGGCGTTTCTTATTTAGTAGGGATATTTCAGTGGTCCGTAAAATAACAATATAGAACGGATGTGAAGTATTGCCTTTATAGAAATAAAAGAAGGATGTAAAGTATTGGAAGATATTTGGCAGAATTTTGGGTTTTATGTGAAATAAAATATAATTTTGTACACCTCATTAGTTTGTTTCTCTCTCTTGCAAATAGACCCTCTTCCACAGATTTTAGATAGCAAGCTCCAAGTATATGAACACCATCAATATACCGCTCGCCATTTACCATCTAACTATTTACTTAAAGTACTTGGGGCGTTTTGCTACAGTATGTAGTGGGTGTGGTGGGTAGGTACAAAAATATTGAGCTCCTAACTATTTATTTTTATATCAAATTTGTGTGTTTTTGCTAATAGGTACCTATTTTAAGAAACAGTTTGAATATTTTGTTCTGTAGTATTTAAACCTGTATTTTCAATAAAACGTTGGATTATTATTCCCTTTCTGTTTGTTTTCATAGGTATGTTCACATCACATGAATATATCATGATGTACCAATACACTGGCTTTTTTTATCTACTTTATCATGGAAAATTTATATACAGACCATATACCAACCTACTAGACACATAGGGAGTAATAAGACGAATTAGATTGTACTCGGTTAAGCCGAATCGAATCGTTGTTAGGGAGGGGGACTACTACAAATTCTTATCAAAATTTGTTAAAATGACCGCATACCCGCTTGCACCGCACCATTAAAAGTTCCAAAAATACCGTAAAAAGACCCAAAAATGTCGCGCCCGCGGCGCCTTGCTTCGATCACTTTCTGTAAATTCGCCCCCTTCCCTCAAGACAAAATCCTGACTACGCCGAGTATAGCCGAGCTGGCGAAGAAGCACAAATTTTATTAATATACAGAGACGTACAACTAGTCCCATTCAAGTCTATGTGTCTACTAGCCTAGTCTTGTCTGTATAATTAATTCTACTTATGTTAATTTTTGGTGCCCAAGCCCCCATAGTGATTTTGAGATTCCGGCGCCTATGGAGAAAGTCATTATATACCTTACCCATTATAAACCTCTATAATGATCAACTTGTCTACCTAGGTATATAATGTACTATTTTGTGCAACCGTCTGCGAAATGAGCTTTCGCGGCCGCCACAGCTTACATGCACAATATTTCAAATCCATACAGTTTTTTTGTAACTTTACATAATTTTTATAGTTGCACAAAAAACAGTATGTATACCATGACCGTGAAACTTTTTTGCGTCCTCGAGATAGCTTTTCTCTATGTATGCTAAAAAGGCATTTCGCGGCCTTGGTATATACAAATAACCATTGTAATATAAATATGCATGTTGTTATTTATATTACTAGTGCGGTATGAGCTTCATTACAGTAACAAGTGGGGAATATTGCTGAGTCGTTATAACCACACAAGTGCTGTAATGAGTGTTACTGTATGTGTGATATGATATTACAACATTTTATCTACAACCCATTTTTTTTTTTAAATGTATTCAGAATGTTTTTGATTTTCCACAATTCACATTACTTATTAAAAAGTCGTTCAAGAACAATTTTGATTTGAAATAAGTGAATTTTTGAACTAATAATGAACAAGTAAAACACTGAATCATTCATTGCAAAGTTTATTAATGAGTTAATCAAATTAATGCCTGAAAATCACCCTCTTAATTCACTCATTTCCAGGTCATTACATATTTTTTTTACTACTAATCTGAGTAGTCATTATTCAATCTATTTTTCTAGGAAAAAAAGTAAATTTCTCTCCCTAGGCTAATAATAAAAAAAATCCTAGGTCAATAATGAAAGTGACGTCATGACGCAAGGATATTGTTATGCCATACAACTGACTATGTAACGGATAGAGATCGTTATTTCTATCTCTATGGCACTAGAAATAGAGAAAATATCTCATTTTCCACTAATCGACACACTTTGATAAAATTGATGTACAGGGTGGTATTTACAAGTAGTTGACACTATTACAGGCTCTTCAATTTTCAACAAATTCAAGAGCCAGGAATAAACAAAAATTGAACTGGAAAAAAATGATTCTAAATGCAATTTTTCTTTATTAAATCTTAAACTACATCAAAAACAAAACTTAACTCCACCTATAATGGGCAAAAGCTTTGTTAGCTTCACATTGCCTGTGCAAATCCTGCTTCCTCTTCACAACTTTCCCAGTATTATTTGAGGCGTCCACCAATTCTCTGGCCAATTGCATAGCAAATCTTACTTTTCTGTCTTTTTCCTTGCCAGCGTCCACCAGCCAATTCATGGCAATAAATTCCGATCTTCTATCTGTAATGGGCATTGGAACTTGATATCTTACTCCGCCTCTTTTGACTCCTGTAAGTTGTAAGAGAGGTTTGGAATTGTTGATTGCCTCATGGAAGACTTTTTTTGGATCTAGTTCGATTTTTAGTTTTTCTTCTTCGGTGGTGCACTTGTGGTACTTTTCCAGTTGGAGTCTTTTGATGTTTTCAAAACATTTGTCCATTTGTTCTCTGGCTAGGGCTTTCAAGCCCTGTCTCATCACATAATTTGTGAATAAACTATTGAAGAATAATGCTCAATTATAATAATTTATAAGTGCAAATTTTTACTTACGCAATTACGGGATCATAAGAATCTGAACAGGTTTGCCCGTTGAGAGTTGCTTTTGTTGGGATATGACTGTATTTGCTAATCTCTCCGGTTTTTACTAGTTCTTGTTGGGTTTCTTTTCTGTATATTGGCTCAATGTAGTAGTTAGGATATACTGACATAGAGTTTTGTTGAATATAGCTGCAATTTTTTTTTTTTTTAAAGGGCCATCCAAATCAAAAGTGAGGTTAAGTAAATATAAAACTATTTTTTTACCTCAGTATTGGTGTATTTAGTTTTGATACAGCGAAACATCTTGAAAACAATACTTTTGTTGCACACATTTTATTTATTATTTGAAAATTCTAAATTTTAAATCATGTCGATGTCTTCCTAAAAAAAAATTACGTATCGATACTACTTCATTGATCGATACTTTATAAAGTATAAATATCGATAGACCCTTCTCTACTCCTACATCATTGGTGTCTCACTTTATCTCACATGTTAAGTGAGACGAATATATTTTTCATATCGATGTCTTTTTGACAACATAACAAACGCGCGTGCGCTTTGTAAACATAAATTTCCATGAAGGTGGGTTTTTTTTGGCCTGTTAATAATTTCCATTTCCATAATTTTTATTGGAAAAATAAAAATTTGGTTGTTATTGTTTAATACCTTGTTTATTCAACAACGTTTTTTGTCTGAGAAAATGCCTATAAGTGGATATTCCAGTAAAACAGCACTAGAGTACAATCATATACAACTTGACTAGATATTTTTTGCAAAAAGACATTTTCTGTTTTTGTGTTGTTAATTTCCAGCAGTTTAATTGCTTAAAATACGATGGCAGAACAAGGTAAGGACCAATTTTTGTTATCATAAAAAAACATTTTTGTTCCAACTGCTCCTAAACAAGATTAACAATTTGCATTGTTTTAGGCCCTAGAAAGCCCCAGCTTATCAAAATGGACTTCCCTTTTCGTCCAATAAGCGGGGCACAATCCTCAGATAAAGCTGGACTCGCGTCTACATCTGTTAGACCGAAAATGAGCTTGCCAGTCGTTGCACCAAAACCTAAAGATCCTGCCATTACTAGAACTCCGTAAGTAGTTGTGTTTTGCATAACAACTACAACTGTATGGTAACTAAAGTCTACTACACGTTTTTGCGTGCAGTAAGTACAATATTACCGCACAGCATGCTGTAATATTATTACTGCATGGTCTAGTATATTGGTTAAGGTTTCAATTACCCACATCCTAATTCTACTATTCACTGTCAAAGCTGATGGACAAGTCAGAGACGCAATTTTATTTTCTATAATTTTTCAAACTTCATGGGGATATTTTGTTACTGCACAGTTGTAGATAATAAATACTGTATATTATACACATATAAAAATATTGGTATTTATGTTATTACTGCCCTTAAAGATTACAAACATTAGAGAGTTATTGGAACTATCAAATACTGCCTCGCAGTATTAAAGGATCTACGTTATTTTATTAGTGCATCAGCACTATTTCTCCAAGAAAATAACAGTTATTGGAAGACCGTAGTAGGTGCTAAGTATTACCTTATTTTGTATTCATAATTTTGACAGCTGATAGCTACGTTTATAAATTTCAACCTCAAAAAGTGTTTATTTTTGTTTGTGAGTTTTCTCTGATACCCATTTTTTGATGTTACCCACAGTATAAAATGAAAAACTATTGTGAAAAACCAATTCTCTAAGTAAAATTACGTCATCGTCGAAAAGCGAAACGTCAAAGTCATCAAAAATGTCAGAAATATTGGATAAGGGAAGTTTACTGCCTCGCACTAACCATACACAAATAAAGACAAGCAGTAATCTTATTGAGGGAATCCTTATTTTCAGACCCAAACGCGCATGCGCAGATGTCAAAATAAGGCTAATTTAAATACTGCTTGTCCTTATTGCACGTCCAATAACTCTCTCTTGTCTCATCAGCTTGGTTTGCAAATTTCTCTAGCGTGCAGTAATAACTTAGTTACCTCACCTATTATACAGGGCATCCTTAGATAAATAGACACATTTTGCAGGTGAATATCTCCAAAACAAGAAAAGATAACAAGATGCGGTTTTTTTCTGGGAGTAACAATTTTTTAGTATCTTTCACAGAATTGCCAAATTCTAAAATTGCCTTTTTTTTCTATGGTTGTGTTGGTTATTTTCTCATTGATGCTGTTCTACTCCTTATTCTTTGGTTTTTCGTTTTTCAGTTCTTCACTGTTTTTTCTATTTTCTTTAGGTGATTGATTGTTAGTTTAAACATACACAACCCCAAATATTTTGAAGCATTAGTTAGGGATCTGTGAAGGATAATTCTTATTTTTAGTAAATTGTTTATTTTCTCGTTTATTTTACTGTAAGAAATTTTTGGTGTGTTTTTACTTCATTTAAATGATATTAATCACCTCCCCATTAGGGCTGAAATAACATTATTCGCTGATGACATTACTCTGTCCTGGAAAGGAAAAAATATTGAAGATATTGATTTATATTTTGGAAAACTTTCAAAGGTCATAACTTTTTTTCTATTATAGATAGAAAGCTGAAACTTTCACTGAATTTTATCCAAATCAAGGGATTACAATCCCTGAAAATTTCAGCTCATTTGCACTTATAATTCCTGAGATAAAATCGTGTTAAGCAATTTGGGGTGATTTATCAATTTTTCAATTTTTCTGAGTGCCTTTTTTCATAGATTTCGGTTTCAAATCTGAGAATAATTGAGTGTATGGACTTTGGGGGATGTTGATTGACCATAAGGTTACAAAATCTCGACAAAAAAAAATTTGAAATTTCATCGTTTTAGTAAGAAGGAACCTTATGATTTAGATTTTGGAAAACTTTGAAAGGTCATAACTTTTTTTCTATTATAGATAGAAAGCTGAAACTTTCACTGAATTTTATCCCAATCAAGGGACTACAATCCCTGAAAATTTCAGCTCATTTGCACTTGTGCTTATAGTTCCTGAGATAAAATTGTGATAAGCAATTTGGGGTGATTTTTCAATTTTTCTGAGTGCCTTCTTTCATAGTTTCGGTTTCAAATCTGAGAATAATTTAGTGTATAGAGTTTGGGGGATGTTGATTGACCTCGAGACCCTGACCATTAGGTTACAAAATCTTGACAAAAAAAAATTTGAAATTTCATCATTTTAGCACAGCATATACAAAAACAATCAGCAGGCTAACTCTCATGTGCATCTTTTCTGCGCACGCCGCCATTAGGGGATACCATTCTGTCATTAAACGGCAGGAGCGCCGAAATTTTATTTTATTTGTTCATTTCTGACGGAGGTCATAGGCGTGCAGTGTAGAGCGGAATTTTAGTTAAAGTTTGTTTTTTATTTAAAGATAATTCCCCAAGTCAAAAATTTAGTAACTATGTTGGCAACACAAGCCTTTCCTACATAAAAAATTTGAAAGCATTGACAATTTCACATTGTATTGCCAACATAATGTCATTTTGACTTTCATCTTTAAAAAAAAAAACAGACTTTATGATTTTCGAAGTGATTTTAGTACATTCGTGTTGTCATTTATAGTGTTATCTGTTATCATTGTTGTATACACAGAAAAAAACGATTACTCACATCAAGTAAATATTTTTTCTCATTTTTCCAAGAACAATTTTGCATCAGATGAAACAAATATCTTCAAACAAAGAAATGGGGCACAATTAAAATTAGTTCACAGAATATTTGAAATGTTCGTTCAAATGAAGAATATATTTTTATTTAAAGTATATGTGTAATGTTTGATCAAATAAATTTATCCTCAAAAGAACACGTCAAATTTTATCAATTTGACATAATAAAACATAATTTCAAATTAATATATTCTCGTATCAAATATATTTGATACTCCAGTTAAACTTTTAAAATTACTTTGTTTAATCAAGAAATAAAATCAATTAGAATATACACATTCTTGTTTTAAACACAAAATATATCGTTGAAATAGTTTACCTAACTCCGGTTTCGGCTCCAGAGGAAAGTGTAATAGGTCTTTTTGAGAAAATAAATACTCATTCCGAATAAAATATCATGTATTTGAGTATTATATTCTCAAAACATAGGTACTTCTGTTGGTTCATCCCTTCCACCTTGTCATGTGCAAAAAGCCTTGTATAGACAGTAACTGGGATGAGTAGCAGCAAAGTTTGTAGCAGGTAGCAGCCATTATACTATTTGCTATTATTTGCCTTTTTATATCGTTTGTGACAGTTTGTGTGTTTTTTTCAATTGATGCGACGTTTGCTTACGGGTTTTTTTTGTTATGATTTTTCGGTGTGTGGTTTATAGTGCTGTACCAACTTATAAAGGAACCATGAAAAATCTATTGCGGGAATGGGAGCTGTCCGAGATATGTTCATGTCAAAGAAATCTGAAAAATCCTGGTGCGTGGTGAAAAAGTAATCTTAAAAAAAACAAATGTATTACCCCCTTTACTGAAATGCATATTTATCTTTTTTTATTTTTTAGATATCTACACTTTTATCGCCTCATCTGTATCTTTGATTATGTTAGAATCCTTTATGTTCAATTTCCAAAAATCTGTATTTTTTTTCTATTTTATGTAAATTGAGATTATAGTTTGATATTTCTTACTGGGGTCTCATCAAAACTGGGCTTCATTAAAATTTTCCTTCGATTTGTGGGGTTTGGACATTGATATTTGTTGTGTTTATGTAGGTTTTGCGAATTAAAGACATTTTCCAATAAAAAAGTTGTTTTTTTTATGAATTTTAAAATCCATTTAGCCTATTTAAATGATTCAAAGCTCAGACCGTTGCTTATAGTTGAACTCTATACTTCTACTTATATACTTGAGCTTGCTCACTCACAATTTCTATCATGTAATTAAAAACTTCACGTTTATTTATAATAGCAGAATTATTTTAAATTATTATTTTTAAATAATTAATTCAATTTACAATGTGGATCAAAGCAATTTTTCATACCTTTAAACCAAGTTTTAAGTTAACTTTCATTGATGATACAATGTAGGTACTTGATTTGCTAAAACATATCTCAAAATGATTAAGTTATAACCTCATTGGTAATAGAAATATTGCTTAAATTGAAAAAAAAAATCTGATAATAAATAAGTGAAGTAGTTTAATACAAAGAAAAATAAAATGGGCTCTTTCACTAATTTTTGAAATTGGCATATTTGGATAAAGCAACTAAAAACAGAATTTTCTGTATTTTTACTTTTGAAAAATTCATAGTCCTTCTTGAGAAAACAGAAAAAAAAGAAATACCTCCAAATAAAAACCCAGAATTTATTTCTATGACGTCGCAGCTCGCTATTTGACAGTGTTGCCACTAATTGTCAACATTGAAAATTTGTAATAGATTTAATTCTGAAATGTTCGCAAAATATCATGAAAAGTAGTTAAATTAATTAGTTATGGATTCAAGATTTTATAACATTTTTATTGAAATTATGCCTAAACACAATTTAATATAATTTTTTATGTTTAGTTTTATTTATTTATTTTACGTTGCACTACATTTAGTCACCACCGACAACAGCGCATTCGAACCTTTACCTGCATTTACTACAGGGTAAATACAGCCGAGGCGGTCAGCTCCTTGCAACAACAAGCGAAATGAAAAATATTTATGCGACGTCAGCAAATCGGCGCGTTTTTAATTAATTTGAATTTTGCAGTTTAAAATGCCTGTAAAAAACTTATTTAACCTTGTAGAACATTTTTTTTTGGTATATGTGCCTAAAATAGTCCCTCCTTTGGGATTTTATACTTAAATTACGTATTTAAATTTTAGTGAAAGAGCCCATTAAAGTAAATAACGTTTTTGCTTGTTTTAAAATTACAAGTTACTTTTTTTGAGAATGGGGTATTCTCAAATGAAGTTTAAGTGAGTTCTCAAAATGAGAAGTATATTATTTATTTGATCTGATATTGACTTGAACCCAATTTAGTATGATATTTAAACAAGAATATAATATTCTCATTCAAAACATTTATTTTCTTGCGGATATATAATCCTAAGATATTCTCAAATAAAATTGTTTATTCTTGTTTTAAGTTGTTGGTTTTTTGTGTGTATTTAATAATAATAATAATAAATTATTAGTAATTATAAATATTATCACATGTAACTATGTAAGTAATAATAAATTAGTTTATTTAAAGCCAATACGACTCTGTGACAGGGAAAAAAAAACCTAAATTATCGTTAATCAGGCCCTGTTTCGTATCCCAAAATGGCCGCTAGTGACATTTTGACGATGAATTCCTTTATTACACGGTTTGTCACTCAAGTTAGCCTGCTGATTGTTTTTGTATATGCTGTGGTTTTAGTAAGAAGGAACCCGAGAAGGAACCTTATGATTTAGATTTTGGAAAACTTTGAAAGGTCATAACTTTTTTTCTATTATAGATAGAAAGTTGAAACTTTCACTGAATTTTATCCCAATTAAGGGACTACAATCCCTGAAAATTTCAGCTCATTTTCACTTGTGCTTATAGTTCCTGAGATTTCAGCTCATTTGGACTTATAGTTCCAGAAATAGAATTGTGTTAAGCAATTTGGGGTGATTTATCAATTTTTCAATTTTTTGAGTGCCTTTTTTCATGGATTTCGGTTTCAAATCTGAGAATAATTTAGTATATGGAGTTTGGGGTATGTTGATTGACCATTAGGATACAAAATCTCGACAAAAAAAAATTGAAATTTCATCGTTTTAGTAAGAAGGTACCTACCTCATGATTTAGATTTTCGAAAACTTTGAAAGGTCATAACTTCTTTTCTATTATAGATAGAAAGTTGAAACTTTCACTGAATTTTATCCCAATCAAGGGACTACAATCTCTGAAAATTTCAGCTCATTTGCAATTATAATTCCTGAGATAAAATCCTGTTAAGCAATTTGGGGTGATTTATCCAATGACCTATTAACACAGATAGACAGAACATCTCATTGATAAAATAGCTTTGTTTTGGTTGACTACATGTTAATGGGCCAGGGGGGGTGAGCTGTGCGAGCGGCTAGGAGTAGGGATTCAAATGATTCCGCTAACTCCGCCTTTATTTTACTATCGCATACTTGGCAACTCTGAAAATGAAATCAGAATCAGTGGTACAAAAGTGTATCTTTATCCTTATATTTTACATAATTTTAGAAAAAGATGCGGATACACTCACTGCGCACTGATTGACAAATGTAAATTGTCATAAAATACCTGCAGGTCACAATTTGACATGACAATTGAATAGAAGCCGCTGATTGGTGGAAAGGTGGAATTCGAGGTGGGATTTATTTTTTTGCAGCGTTGCTAATTTTCATTGAAAAATAATCGCTTTCCACGTGTTAGAGAAATATACAAAATAACACAAGGAATAATAAGTAGTGGGGAGAGATGTGGTTCCTGGCATGTAGTCAACCGATATTATTGTTTATTGTTCTTTCTATCTGTGTTAATAGGTCATTGGATTTATCTATTTTTCAATTTTTCTGAGTGCCTTTTTTCATAGATTTCGATTTCAAATCTGAGAATAATAATTTAGTGTATGGAGTTTGGAGGATATTGATTGACCATAAGGATACAAAATCTTACCAGAAAAAATTTTATGATTTAGATTTTTGAAAACTTTGAAAAGTCATAACTTTTTTACTATTATAGATAGAAAGCTAAAACTTTCTCTGAATTTTATCCTAATCAAGGGACTACAATCCCTGAAAATTTCAGCTCATTTGCACTTATAGTTCTTGAGATAAAATTGTGATAAGCAATTTGGGGTGATTTTTCAATTTTTCTGAGTGCCTTTTTTCATAGATTTCAGTTTTAAATCTGAGAATAATTTAGTGTATGGAGTTTGGAGGATGTTGATTGACCATAAAGATACAAAATCTCAACAAAAAAAAATTTGAAATTTCATCGTTTTAGTAAGAACCTTATGATTTAGATTTTTGAAAACTTTGAAAAGTCATAACTTTTTTTCTATTATAGATAGAAAGCTGAAAATTTCACTGACAATAAAAAAATATACAGGGTGTTTTATTATTAATAAGACAGTATTATTATTCCAAAAAATCGCGTGTCATGAAATTTTAGGATTCAGCAATACTGTAATAAAAAACCTTAAAACATCCTTATTCTCCCAGAACAAACCCCATTTTGTTATAGAAATATTTACTTGCAAAATGTGTGAGTTTATCTAAGGACGTCCTGTATAATATAATATAAATTTTGTCTCGAATTTTGTGTATTTTCAAAATATTAAAAAAAAAAAAAATGAAAAAAAATTAAGTATATTATTTTTACAGTACTAGGCAAACTGATAGAAGCCGTTTCAGGTAATACAAATTTTGTGTGTGAATAAATTTGTGTTTTTCTTTTTTTTAAATGTGATTTATCTTATTTGTACAAGTATTGTAATGTGGTTTTTCTTGATGGATTTTTGAAAAAATATCACAAATTTTTATTAAAATTATTGTGTTTACATGATTTATTTATTTCAGAGAAACAAAACTAAAAATGTCCCATTCGATAAACGCGACTGGTAAATTGCAAATTGGCGGCACCACTTACGATTTCACCTCTGACGATTTGCAAGATTTAGGGGAAATCGGACGTGGTGGTTTTGGTACCGTCAACAAAATGGTGCACCGCAAAACCAGTACGACAATTGCAGTTAAACGAATCCGTTCTACAGTGGATGAAAAAGAGCAAAAGCAACTGCTTATGGATTTGGATGTTGTCATGAAAAGTAACGAGTGCAATTATATTGTCCAGTTTTATGGGGCATTATTTAAAGAGGCAAGTATTTATTAATCAATAGACAATTTGCTAATTGTTATTGTAGGGTGATTGTTGGATATGCATGGAGGTAATGGACACTTCTTTGGATAAATTCTACAAATTCATCTACGAAAGATTAGATCAAAGGATACCTGAGCCCATATTAGGAAAAATTGCTTTGGCCACAGTCAAAGCACTGAATTATCTCAAGGAGGAATTGAAAATTATTCACAGAGATGTAAAGCCAAGCAATATTTTATTAGACAAAAACGGTAAGACAAATTTAAGGTATTTTATTTGGGGTTTTAATTGAGTCAATTTTAGGTAATATTAAGTTGTGTGATTTTGGTATATCTGGACAACTGGTTGACTCAATAGCAAAAACTAAAGATGCTGGTTGTAGACCTTATATGGCGGTAAATAACAATATTGAAAAAATATCAAAATTACTTCATAAATTATACATTTCTAGCCAGAACGTATTGATCCTCAAACAGCCAAAGGTTACGATGTCCGCAGTGACGTTTGGTCATTAGGTATAACCCTAATGGAGGTAGCTACTGGTCATTTTCCCTACAAAAGATGGTCCAGTGTTTTCGATCAACTTCACGAAGTTGTTAACGGAGATCCTCCACGTTTGGCTACAAATAGCAACGCTAATACATTCACTGCGGAGTTTGTGAATTTTGTCAACACTTGCTTGATTAAGCAGGAAAATTTGCGACCCAAATATAATAAGCTCCTACAGGATCCGTTTATATTGAGGGCGACACAGGAGAGGGTGGATGTTGCTGCTTATGTTACGGAAATAATGGACGAAATGACTAATAATGGTATCAGTGCTTTTACTACTAATTTGCAAGAGTGCTAGTGGTAAAAGGAGATTGTGCCAATATAAATATATGTTGTTGAAAATAGATTAGAAGAGGAAGGATTTGATTGGAGTGCAAAATATGACTTAATAGGAGTTTGTTGACTTTTTAGTGCTGACGACCTTATTGATTGTTATTGTTAATACTATATTAGTTAGTTCCTCTTTTTACTTAAAAAAATACCTACTAGAAAAACCCGTATATTAGCCATTTTAGATGTTCAATCAATCAAGTGGAAAATGTTTTGCCTCCTATGATAGTTTCTGGACTTAGTGCTGCAAGGAATTATTTTAATTATTGTATTATTTATTTATTGTTTATTATATAGGAGGTTTCCTGTATTTGTTGATGCAAATACAAGCAATAAACGTATTTATTAATTATTGTGTATATTTAAGTAATTTTTGGTCACAACAACTATTTGATTATTGTACATTATTAAGTAATATACAAGTTTCTTATACATATTGTCACAAATATATAATTTTTTTTTTTTTAGCCCATATACTTAAATAAAATCACTGTTTTTTCAATATTTCAAACAATTTTATTTGTCCTTTATAAAGAGGCTAAAATATAAAACATATAAATAAATATTTAAGGAAAAACATTATTGGTATGTTTTGAAGGTACATACAATAAATCTTTGGGACTTACAATCTATATAATACTTAAGGACTTATATTAACAATTATTATTGCAAGAAAAAAATATTAATATCTATCACGTTTTGGAAAGGGACAATAATAATTATTAGACACTTCAATAACATTTTACTCAACTACTCCAAGCTCTACAAAAACTGATAAATCAACACAACAAACTGATAGATCCATTGTCAGCACCCAAAAGTAGCAATCTATTCAAAGGCAACATTCCCATAGAAGTCAGCACTCCCTTGAAAGTATCTCCACGTAATTTAGTGCTGCTATAACTTGCATCTGGTGCTATTTCAGTGTGAACCCCCACTCGGTTAGCTGTGGTAGCACTCACCAATTCAGTTCCGTCGTAAACGCAAAGACAATGCGCAGGCTCTGTAGCTCCCCTAGGAACGCAAACGGTGCTGAATTATGAGTATTTATTTATTTTTACACAAAATTGATTTTAATGTAATGTTACTTTACCTCATGTAATGTTTAAACTTGCCATCGTTGATAGTCCAAACAGCGATTGTTTGATCTAAACTGCTAGAAACCAATACGTCATCATTTACTGCAACAAGTTGTAGAACTTCACCTTCGTGAGCTCTCCAACTGTTTATAACCAATCCGGTTCTGGTATCGAGTACAGTTATGCTGCCTGATGATTGGCCTGCGGCCACCCAATTGCCAGAAGGATTGATAGCCAAACAGCGTATCAATCCAGAAGGATTCACCGTTATCTGAAAATAATTTATACCTCTATAAATGACATTTACAGGGACCTAAAATGCAAATCCGGAATTTGAAGACGAACTTATAAATTGGGTTTAGGTTGCTCAATTTTAGTAATATTGTCAACCCTACATGAGACCACGGGCTATAACCAAATTCAACACACTGAACCACGGGTTAAAACAAATAACTGGAACTAAGCAAGAAAACACAACCAGACTAATTAACCTAATTATAGTCAGCAAATATTGGATTTTAAAGCCACTGCCACACTATGGCAAATCAGTCATGTCTCAGCGCTTTTCTGTATCAGTAAAATGTGTTTTTTTTTTAAAGATAAAAGTCAAAATGACATTATGTTGGCAATACAATGTAAAATTGTCAAGCTTTCAAATTTTTTATGTAGAAAAGGCTTGTGTTGCCAAGATAGTTACTAAATTTCTGACTTGGGGAATAGACCTATCTATTTTTAGTATTTTTACCTGGTATGCGCGCGCAATACGAGGCAATGTCTTTTTATTGGCTAGCTAATACAGGCGTGAGGTGATCGTTCTGCACGCTGGGCATCTCTTTATCCTTGTTCATTGCACGTGGTCTGACAAGAATAAATCTAAAGTTGATAGTCATTCAAAAGTTGTTTGACATTTTCATTGACAAAAACGTTGCACAACACGCGGTTTTTCTCCTTTCCTTTTTATCCTGTGCAAATAAGAAGGACGGATTGCTATACGTAAGTCTAACATAATTTGGTACGTTTTGCCTCGTCTTGCGCAATGAGCATTTTGTGTTTTTTTTTATTTAATGAAGTTTTCGTATTATTACCTCTTTGTCTGGTAAAATAGATAGGTCTATTATCTTTAAAAAAAAAACAGACTTTAGGTGTTTAAGACACGTCTCAAAAGTCGGAAGCTATCTGGGCCCGTATTCTCGTCACCGGGAACAGCGTTCTCTCAAGAGAACGATTGGCTCTGTCTTAGTCACCCATATTGTTATTTCCATAATACTGACAAAGACAGAGCAATCGTTCTCTTGAGAGAATGCTGTTCCCCGTTACGAGAATACGGGCCCTGGCTGAATAGGGATTGCGCATTGTATCTCTGTTCGAGCAGATTTCAACTGACAACCCAGACTCTGTGAGCCATATCTCAGCGCTTTTCTGTATCAGTAGGCGTCTTAGATACGTCTCAAAGTCGGAAGCTATCTGGCCGAATAGGGATTGCGTATCGTATCTCTGTTCAAGCAGATTTCAACTGACGACCCAGACTCTGTGAGCCATATCTCAACGCTTTTCTGTATCAGTAGGCGTCTTAGATACGTCTCAAAGTCGGAAGCTATCTGGCCGAATAGGGATTGCGTATCGTATCTCTGTTCAAGCAGATTTCAACTGACGACCCAGACTCTGTGTACTGTAGTACAGGCTTCCTAGCTTCTATTGTGGTGTTGGTTTGGTTTTCTTAGCAACTGCTGACCACAAAGATCAAGCTTGGGTTTATACCCGACAGATTCGTTCAGGTGCCCTTAGATCCTTTTGCAGCTCGAAAGGACATGCTGGCTTGGGATGGTAACAATATGGTAATACTGGTTATTTTACTCTAAATGTAATCTCTACCCTAACATTAAATATATTATATTTATCTAGCGTTATTCTGGTGTTCCCTTTCCCTTCCCGTTCTGATTTTCAGGGTAAATAGTCGAGCTACGTAGCGGAGCAAGAGAGGTTTTGTGACTGTATAATAGGTTTTTGGGTAATTATACTTATGTAATAACTTGCAACTTATATTTAGGGTTGAATAGACTATTTAGTTTAAAAAATCTAATAATGAATATCAAGGGATAAGCCACCCTCCCGAATTTTCCCAAATAACATTGACACTCATTTTACCTCACATCTTTGTTAATTTCAATCCGATCTTAACCTAATTAGGCCTGAAATGAAGCTAATTAAACCCTTTACAAATCCCTAATGAGTAATTTCAATGCAACTTCAATAATTTCGCAGCTGCAAAGCTTCAAAGCTTTTAGACTTTGATTTTGTTATTCAGATGAAATACTTACTAATCTGAGAACAACTGAGTGAGTTTTTCTCATTTGGTCGAAAAATCTCTTGTGTTTTAATTTCAATGTACTCACTTTCAAATCGTAAACGTAACTGGCCAATCGCCCATCGATAACTTTAACAGTCCCTTCAGTAGTGGCTGAAAAAATCAGGCTAGAAGGCGACGGTAGGCTTTTCACAACATTGACAGGAGAAAATTTGGGCGAATCCAATTGGGCCACTACGGCACCCATAAACGGGTCCCAAAGATGGACAATACTGTCACAGGAAGCCACCTAATAGAAAAACATTCACTACATATCTTGTGTATTAAAACAAAAAATTCTTACCAATCTTAGACTATCAACAAAAGTCAAAGACAAAATTGACTTTTTATGTGCCCCATAAGTCCACTGACAGTTAGATGTAGATGTTCCATCCCCTTGGCTTCTCAAAGACCACAATTTGACAGTTTTGTCCCTCGACCCGGACATAAAGCTGTTTTCGTTGTCCAAAATATGTAGGCATTTGACGCTGTTGCTGTGTCCGACAAAAGTTTGCAATTTGATTTGATTGAAATTGAAACTCGTGTCTTTTTCAGGACGACCTATTTCGTGCGCCCAATAGCTAAACCAATTGCCTTTCAAGTGTCTTGTGCTGTTTTCCATTTTGTTGCTTACTAATGTTAAAAGGTCCATGCCAGGGACTGTGTCTTGGAATTCAGGTTGAATTTCTATTCTATTGCCTATTACGTTTATGTTGCTGCCAATACTACTGGAAATGTGAACTTTTGGCATGTCAAAGTATCTTGTTTTGGCTTCGGTATTGCATTCCTGGCACAATTGACGAATTTTGTCGTGATTTTTTAACGAAATATCCAAGGAATTTGCGCCTACGTGCTTCAAAAAGGGAAGATATGACATGTGGGCTAGTTCAGGACAAAACACGTCCCTGATTTCTTCCAAAGCTAAAATTTGAATGTTTTCTTCTCCTATTGGGGTGCCAAATGTTGGTGATAGGCTATCAAAAGATTCAGAATCTTTTAATCTTACGTGAGGTGTAGGAATAGGTCGGCCACCAACAGTGAAATCAACTGTATGCTATAAGAATTACATTAGGAAATAATATTGACTAAAATGTTTGACTCACTCTGTCAGAGCTTCCATAAACTTTATCAAAAATATAGAAAAATCTTTGCAAAGCAGGTACAGCCAAATACTTCCTGGTCATATCCGATCCAATTCTGACAGCCAAAACGTACAAAGTGTCCACATATTTGCGAGCCAAAACGTTTCTGGCAACAAATCCGCTAGGAAACACGTATTTTGTGGAACCCAGTAAACGTACTATAGGATGCATTATGCCTTGTAAAATATCCTGAAATGATTTTTTAGTAGTTGTCACAGGTTTTTTTAAATATTGAATTCACCTGTAATTGATCCATTAGAGTGGCATCACTTAAATAAGGTATAATGTGTTTTAATAAGGCCAGACAAGAAATAAGACCTCCCTCTAAAGTTTGGGTTAGTTTTCTTTTGCACAAGGCCAACAGTTCGGTCATGTGAGGTAAATATTGGAATAAAATTAGTTTTTCACCATAAAGGGCTGAAATAAAGAGTTAATAGTGAAATTTTTTTTTTGAAAAGGAAAATTACCAGCTATACTAGCAAGACATTGTAAAACGTTATGAGCATTTTCGTCTCCTACTACTTTAGTAGATGTCACACTGAGGTCTTTTACAGATCGGCCATCTATTCCAATAAAAAGTAAATTTTCTTTTCCCACATAGCATAAAGTTAACATTCTTAATAAATTACGCGACAGATATCTTGCCATTAGAACTGGACCCAACCTAAAATAAACATTTATCAGAATTTGATTATTTCAAGTGAAATTCATACCTGTGAGATAGCCATACAATAGAATCTGAGCTCATTTCAGATATTTTTGTATCTGATCTTTTTGGTTTTGAAGCTTGCTTGACATCAGAATTAGGTGAATCTAAGTATAGGGAAGCTAGAGATTTTTTCTCTAGGATGCTATCGGATTCAGATTTTTTACTGCCAACTTCACAACCTGAAAATATAGTTTGCAATACTTTTAAAAACAAATATTTATGTATTTACTGATATTTGCAACACTATTGTGCCGTGTTGTTGGTATAGGTATTGTTGGAGATGTTATATTAGAGCTAGTTTCTTCTATGTCTTCGTTTAAATTCAAATTTAGCTCCTAAAAAATTTTTGTTTATTTTAGGATAGAGTAATTTCTTTTATCTTACCTCTAAGCTTTTTAATTGTTCAATATTTTCAGTTAAAGTTGCATCTAAAGCCTCTTCAGCTGTAGAAACGTTGAATGGTAAATCTGACGCTATGTTTAGCTCTAAATGTTCAATGAGGCTTTTCATTTGAGTTTCTGAATCTTTTTCTTCATCTATATAAACATAGTTTTTGCACAAAATTATTATACAATATAGGAGATTTACCTAATTCAAATATTTCTTCATCTTTTGACTCAGGTTTATTAAGTATTTTAGCTGGTTTTTCATTGGAAGAGCTAGATTCATCACTCACTGACAGCTCATTGTTTTCTTGATCCATATTTTTCAAATGCGAGGTTTTTTTTAAAACCTTTTCACTATGAGTGTGCAAGGGGAAATCAGATTTATCACTATCTTTGTATCCTGTTACGATTATTATTAATAATATTATTTATTGTTTCAAATCAAATTTCTTACCTCCTACTGCTTCTACCAAAGGTGTCACAAAATTATCCAAAAAACACTTCAAACCCAATCTTACAATTAGTCTGAGCAAAAAACTATGATGATATATTTTAGCTATTCTTCCATTGTAGGGCAAATAGCTTTCTGAAGGTTCATTTTCATATAACTTGAGTATAGATTCCAGAAGTTCTTTGATTGATCTTTCTGGACCTGAAATAATTTGTGATCACAAAATATTCAATCTAATAAATTCTTACCTAAAACTCGAGATATGGGATCAAACAGGTACCAAACAGCAAGAACCGAAGTAGGTGGATCTTCAATAAGTTCCCTGATATGTGGTAGAAGGATATTTACAGATTCCATGTCAGTATTAGGATTAATTGCTTCCAAAAAACTCTCCATCTGTTTAGCGCACAACTTAACTTTACATTCAGCTATATTTTGAGCAAACAATATTTTTGTTCTTTCCAGATTTTCATATTCTGCACACATACTACCATCACAATCGAAATGGTACAAAACATTTAATTCCAATGCAACATTCCTAAACTCCTTTAGCCCATTTAGTATTTTATAAACACAAGGAAAAGGTTTTGGAAAAGGGATAAGACAGTGTAATAAAGGCTCAAGCAATAGATGAGCACTGGGAGGTGGTAAGCCCAAATCAGTTACAACAGGATAAGCAAATTTCTTTGAATCTTTTATTTGAGGTTGCAGCAGGAGTTTCAAAATGTAAGAAACACATGGAGGTAAGTCTGTTTGGCAACTGTTGATTATGTTTAAGCATGATTTAAGGCGTTGAGAAAAGGGGAGATTTGAGGTTGTAGTTAAACCTAAAGCTCGGAGTTGTTTGGAGAGAAATATTTCTGCTATAAGACAACCTATAAAAAAACTAGTAAAATTTTGAAGACATTATTAGTAGTTGATTTTTACCTAAAACTTGCAATTCTTTCACTCTCCTATTAGCAATAATTTCAGTATAATTACAATTGATGTTGGAAATGGGTTTTTTAGTAGAGCTTCCTTTATTAAATCCTTCCAAATTGAAATTATCCAATGGAAACGTATAAGATTTGGTTGCTCGAGTTTTAATTTCAAAATTTTCTGAATAAATAAAATTTGTAAAAGCATTTTGTACTAAACAATCATCAACTTGTTCATTATGTTTTTCTTCACTAGCCACCTTGTAGGCTTTCCCACTTTCACTGTGAAAAGTTTTTGAAATAAAATTGTATTTTTTTTCCAAGTTTTCCAATGCGCTTTCTGGCCTATAGTCTTTTGGAAGATAAATAATACCTGAAAATTTAACAATGTTATAAAAATTAAGAAGTCAAAAATCAATACCTGTATTAAGACTAGTTCCTGCTTGCTGATTTGACTTTGATTTATTGGCCACGTGAGATGTAAAACTAGCATTTTTAGGTCCTACGCTTGCACTTCTAGTAGCACTAGGACTTCGATTTGATTTAACACCTGCAATATCTAAATCAATAAGGAAAAATATTGGAAAACCTGAAAATACACACCTTGTTCTTCATGTAAAGACGATCTGCTTCTAGAAAGTATTTTTGATAACCCCAAAGATGACCAATTAGTACTAGAAACTCCCGCATTTTCTTCTTCGTCGCTTTTATTGACCTCCTCCGTATTATTGCTTCTATCTCTAGATCTTTGTTGCTTTAAGGTATTTGTAAATTTAGGTGGGGATTTACCCCAATAGGGTGAGTTTATTGCTCGAGAAGGATGAGGCTGAGAAAAAAGTTGCGATATACCGGAACGAGTTAAGTTGGTATGGTCGTCTGCTAAATGTAAGCAAACATTTTTGGCTTTTATTGCTGCAGAACCTGAGAGCCTGAAAATAATATGGAATAATTAACTAATTGACCCATAACTTAGTTGTAATTAATATCAAACATCAACTATTCATTTGCCTGGCAGTAACCTTTCCAAGTGTCAAGATAATCCAGCAAATAATGGAATAAAGGGAGAAATACCTCCTGATTTTGGAAAAGAAATATTTCTTTTTGGTTGCTTTACATTTAAATATTTTCTAGAATCTTTTACTGCACTTAGTAAATTTATATTAAGGCAAGGGGTGAACCACCATCTCAAAGAGGAATTTTTTACGCATAATTCCTCAAAATTCCTGTAAATTCCTCCAGATACCCTATCACAAATTCCTCCAATTAGCTCACCACGAACTTCTCCAAATGTCCCACAAATTCCTCTAAAAAAAGGGAAAATTTTGAAACTTTTTGCATGCAAAGAGGAAGGAAAGTCATTTTCCCAAAATTTCAAATTTTTCCAGTGGAAAACAGCAACATGAAAAATCTTGGAAATCAACCTACAAAAACTGAATTAGTTGAAAATACTGTTTCACACATTTCGAAGTTTTCCTGGAAAACTAGCGAAGGAAGAAATTTGAAACTTTTTGCCTGTAAAGAAAAAGGCTAGAAGCTCATTTTCCCAGAATTTCAAATTTCTCCAGTAAAAAATTATAACATAAGGAATCTTGGAAATCAAACCTGCAATACTGAATTAATTGAAAATATAGTCTTATATATTTCAAAGTTTTTCTAGAAAACTAGTGAAGGGAAAATTTTGAAACTTTTTACATGTAAAGAGGAAGGTGAGAAGATCATTTTTCCAAAATTTCAAATTTTTCCAGTGAAAAACAGTAACATGAAAAATCTTGGAAATCAACCTGCAAAAACTGAATTAGTTGAAAATACAGTCTCACACATTTCGAAATTTTCCTGGAAAACTAGTAAAGAGAAAATTTTGAAACTTTTTACATGTAAAGAGGAAGGTGAGAAGATCATTTTTCCAAAATTTCAAATTTTTCCAGTGAAAAACAGTAACATGAAATATCTTGGAAATCAACCTACAGAAACTGAATTAGTTGAAAATACAGTCTCACACATTTCGAAATTTTCCTGGAAAACTAGTAAAGAGAAAATTTTGAAACTTTTTACATGTAAAGAGGAAGGTGAGAAGATCATTTTTCCAAAATTTCAAATTTTTCCAGTGAAAAACAGTAACATGAAAAATCTTGGAAATCAACCTACAGAAACTGAATTAGTTGAAAATACAGTCTCACACATTTCGAAATTTTCCTGGAAAACTAGTAAAGAGGAAATTTTGAAACTTTTTACATGTAAAGAGGAAGGTGAGAAGATCATTTTTCCAAAATTTCAAATTTTTCCAGTGAAAAACAGTAACATGAAATATCTTGGAAATCAACCTACAGAAACTGAATTAGTTGAAAATACAGTCTCACACATTTCGAAATTTTCCTGGAAAACTAGTAAAGAGAAAATTTTGAAACTTTTTACATGTAAAGAGGAAGGTGAGAAGATCATTTTTCCAAAATTTCAAATTTTTCCAGTGAAAAACAGTAACATGAAATATCTTGGAAATCAACCTACAGAAACTGAATTAGTTGAAAATACAGTCTCACACATTTCGAAATTTTCCTGGAAAACTAGTAAAGAGAAAATTTTGAAACTTTTTACATATAAAGAGGAAGGTGAAATGATCATTTTTCCAAAATTTCAAATTTTTCCAGTGAAAAACAGTAACATGAAAAATCTTGGAAATCAACCTACAGAAACTGAATTAGTTGAAAATACAGTCTCACACATTTCGAAATTTTCCTGGAAAACTAGTAAAGAGAAAATTTTGAAACTTTTTACATGTAAAGAGGAAGGTGAGAAGATCATTTTTCCAAAATTTCAAATTTTTCCAGTGAAAAACAGTAACATGAAATATCTTGGAAATCAACCTACAGAAACTGAATTAGTTGAAAATACAGTCTCACACATTTCGAAATTTTCCTGGGAAAACTAGTAAAGAGAAAATTTTGAAACTTTTTACATATAAAGAGGAAGGTGAAATGATCATTTTTCCAAAATTTCAAATTTTTCCAGTGAAAAACAGTAACATGAAAAATCTTGGAAATCAACCTACAGAAACTGAATTAGTTGAAAATACAGTCTCACACATTTCGAAATTTTCCTGGAAAACTAGTAAAGAGAAAATTTTGAAACTTTTTACATGTAAAGAGGAAGGTGAGAAGATCATTTTTCCAAAATTTCAAATTTTTCCAGTGAAAAACAGTAACATGAAAAATCTTGGAAATCAACCTACAGAAACTGAATTAGTTGAAAATACAGTCTCACACATTTCGAAATTTTCCTGGAAAACTAGTAAAGAGGAAATTTTGAAACTTTTTACATGTAAAGAGGAAGGTGAGAAGATCATTTTTCCAAAATTTCAAATTTTTCCAGTGAAAAACAGTAACATGAAATATCTTGGAAATCAACCTACAGAAACTGAATTAGTTGAAAATACAGTCTCACACATTTCGAAATTTTCCTGGAAAACTAGTAAAGAGAAAATTTTGAAACTTTTTACATGTAAAGAGGAAGGTGAGAAGATCATTTTTCCAAAATTTCAAATTTTTCCAGTGAAAAACAGTAACATGAAATATCTTGGAAATCAACCTACAGAAACTGAATTAGTTGAAAATACAGTCTCACACATTTCGAAATTTTCCTGGAAAACTAGTAAAGAGAAAATTTTGAAACTTTTTACATATAAAGAGGAAGGTGAAATGATCATTTTTCCAAAATTTCAAATTTTTCCAGTGAAAAAACAGTAACATGAAAAATCTTGGAAATCAACCTACAGAAACTGAATTGGTTGAAAATACAGTCTCACACATTTCGAAATTTTCCTGGAAAACTAGTAAAGAGAAAATTTTGAAACTTTTTACATATAAAGAGGAAGGTGAAATGATCATTTTTCCAAAATTTCAAATTTTTCCAGTGAAAAACAGTAACATGAAAAATCTTGGAAATCAACCTACAAAAACTGAATTGGTTGAAAATACAGTCTCACACATTTCGAAATTTTCCTGGAAAACTAGTAAAGAGAAAATTTTGAAACTTTTTGACATGTAAAGAGGAAGGTGAGAAGATCATTTTTCCAAAATTTCAAATTTTTCCAGTGAAAAACAGTAACATGAAATATCTTGGAAATCAACCTACAGAAACTGAATTAGTTGAAAATACAGTCTCACACATTTCGAAATTTTCCTGGAAAACTAGTAAAGAGAAAATTTTGAAACTTTTTACATGTAAAGAGGAAGGTGAGAAGATCATTTTTCCAAAATTTCAAATTTTTCCAGTGAAAAACAGTAACATGAAATATCTTGGAAATCAACCTACAGAAACTGAATTAGTTGAAAATACAGTCTCACACATTTCGAAATTTTCCTGGAAAACTAGTAAAGAGAAAATTTTGAAACTTTTTACATATAAAGAGGAAGGTGAAATGATCATTTTTCCAAAATTTCAAATTTTTCCAGTGAAAAACAGTAACATGAAAAATCTTGGAAATCAACCTACAGAAACTGAATTGGTTGAAAATACAGTCTCACACATTTCGAAATTTTCCTGGAAAACTAGTAAAGAGAAAATTTTGAAACTTTTTACATATAAAGAGGAAGGTGAGAAGATCATTTTTTCAAAATTTCAAATTTTTCCAGTGGAAAACAGCAACATGAAAAATCTTGAAAATCAACCTACAAAAACTGAATTGGTTGAAAATACAGTCTCACACATTTCAAAGTTTTCCTGGAAAACTAGTAAAGAGAAAATTTTGAAACTTTTTACATGTAAAGAGGAAGGTGAGAAGATTATTTTTCCAAAATTTCAAATTTTTCTAGTAGAAAACAGCAACATGAAAAATCTTAGAAATCAACTTACAAAAACTGAATTTCAAAGTGTCCTGGAAAATTAGTAAAGGGAGAATTTTGGAACTTTTTGCATGTAAAGAGGAAGGTGAGAAGATCATTTTCCCAGAATTTCAAATTTCTCCAGTAAAAAATGACAACATGAGGAATCTTGGAAATCGACCTACAATAACTGATTTAATTGCAAATGCAGTCTCACACATTTCAAAGATTTCCTGGAAAACTAGTGAAGGAAGAATTTTGAAACTTTTTGCCTAGAAAGAGAAAGGCTAGAAGCTCATTTTCCCAGAATTTCAAATTTCTCCAGTAAAAAATTACATCATGAGGAATCTTGGAAATCAACCTACAATAACTGAATTAATTGATAATACAGTCCCACATATTTCAAAGTTTTCCTAGAAAACTAGTGAAGGGAACATTTTGAAACTTTTTGCATGTAAAAAGGAAGGTGCGAAGATCATTTTCCCAAAATTTCAAATTTTTCCAATAGAAAACAGCAACATGAAAAATTTTGGAAATCAACTTACAAAAACTGAATTTATTGAAAATACAATCTCACACATTTCAAAGTTTTTCTGGAAAACTAATAAAGGGAAAATATTGAAACTTTTTACATGTAGAGAGGAAGGTGAGAAGCTCATTTTACAAAATTTCAAATTTTTTCAGTGGAAAATAAAAACATGAAAACTCTTGGAAATCAGCCTACAAAAATTGTATTCATTATTCTTTTGAATTTTTTAAATTTAATAATTTCCTTCAAATTCCTCATAAATTCCTCACAAACTCCCCATAAATTTCTGCAAATTCCTCAAATTTTCATAAATTCCGATGAGTTCCTTCAAATTCCCCACAAATTCCTCTAAATTTCCCACAAATTCCCCACATTTTTGTCAAAGAATTCCTAGGTGGTTTGCCCTTTGCATTAAGGTTTATATGATGTTATATGTACAAATTAAATTCACTTACTTATACCCAAAAGTAAGATCGATCCAATAATGCAACCGTTCTGAAACATGATCACTCTCTAAAGCCTCCCTATGCTTCTCAATGAAATCTTCCGGGCTGGAAGCCCAAGTGGGTACTTCTAAATCTTCCAAGTCATCATGAATGCTTCTAAATACTGACGGATCTATAAAAAAACATTATATTTATCAATATTAAGCAATAATAATTACCTGTAAAAAATTCTGGAATGCATTCATCAGGAGTCCACTCTTGCATCCTTTGAATTGAACTTGGATATTCGGCAGGTACCCAAATGGTACGGACGTTTTTGCATAATATTGACTTTGGTGTTCTACGCGCCATGTATACATAATAAGTGATTGATGAAAGTACGTCAGAAACATGGTGAGGAACCTAATAAAAAAATATTTCAATCAATGTTGTTTTCATGACAGAGAAAAATCTCACTTGAGTTTGTGAGTTATCATATGTGAGATCTAGTTGGCGGTCGCCTTTATTTAAGCGGTATTTCGATTTTTTCAAATCTCTCCAGTTTTTTCCGTTTCTTGCAGCAAAATCTGTTACCCATGGGAATACGTAGTGACAGTTTGGTTCACCTAATTTTCTACCTACAAAACTAAAATAAGCATATTGTGGGTTCTTCAATGAGCATTACCTGAAAATTTATTTAAAGCCGAAACATAAGCAAAATTTGAAATTTTTCTATCAATCCATAATTTACATAATTCCTCAAGGCTTTCATTAGTTACTTGTATTTTGTCATAGGTTTTCAATCCACAATATTCACATTTAAGGGCGCTACTATCAAACTTATGTCCAAATTTTCTACAAAAAAAAAAGCATTACTTAAATCAACTCACTTAACTGACTTAGTAATTCTTACCTACAATCTCTAATAATGGAATGTTTCATTTCAACTTTGGGCAATTCTTGTACACAAATATTTGAATCAATTTTAGGAAAAACATAAATCCATAAATCTTCACTTAAATAAATATCATTTAAAGTAATATCTCCTAGAGTTAAACTACGATCATGCAAAGATTTCAACAACTGTATCAGCTGATAAATAACAAACAAAGGCTTAGAATAACAATTATCTAAAATAGCAGGACTAAATGTAACACAGTCTAATAAAGTATGTTCTAAATATGGAATGTGTAGGAGGAATATTGCGTTTAGGGTTTCCACTGCACAAAAAGTTGGCAGTACATTTAAATGAACATCGAAATCCTTTGAACTATCAATATTTTGAGATGAATCCAGAGTATTTACAATTATGCATCCGTATATTCTTGAGATTATTTCTCTCAAGGCTTCATTGTAGTCAATAAGAGTAACCTGAGTTTCTTTATTGACATCTTCACTTGTACAATATTGCTTATATGCTTCTTTCCACAAATTTTTATAATTAGTTTGTGAAATATATTGCATCAATTGGGCAAATAGCAATGGGTCCTCATTGTTGGAAACGTTAGGCCGTATTTTAGGCAACGGTAGGACTTTTAGGTCTTTTTTCTTATATACTGATACAAATATTTTGATCCAAGGCAAACCAAGTTCTTCTAGATCTAATTTCGGTTTTTCTATAAATTCTATTAGCGTGTAGTGTTTGAATAACGATCTGGAATTATTTCAATTAGTGAATTGTACAAAAGCGCTGAACGGATATTTCAGTTTCTTTTGTTAGGCGTTTATAATTGTTTGTTGGAACTAATAATTTAGTATAATTATCTGTTGGAACTGACAACCATGTCTCTTTCAATAAATTCAATTTTAAAGCTTTTCAAGTGCAAAACGGCCTTGATTAATAGGTTTTTTGAAGAATTTATTTGACTTTAATTCAGAGTCAGAATTAACGGAACTGTAAGGCAAAATCTCAACAAAAAATCGTTTTAGTACCGAGCTACCTTATGATTTAGATTTTGGAAAACTTTGAAAGGTCATAACTTTTTTTCTATTATAGATAGCTGAAATTTTCAGGGATTCTTATTCCAGTGGAAGACTACAATCCTTGAAAATTTCAACTCATTTGGACTTATAGTTCCTGAGATAAAATCGTGTTAAGCAATTCAACAGTAACTTAAAACTTAAAACTTAAGAACAGATACACACATCAAAATAGTCTAGGGAACAAGATGCAACTGAATACATTTATAAATTGAACAAAATATACTTTTAAAAGATTTTTAAATTTTGTTAAAGCCTGCTGGAAAAGCTGATATGATAAATTTTACAAGATTTGTTCAACAAATACCCATCATATGGTATCTTTTTAAAAAAAGTTATTCTGTCTAAAAATTAAAATACGAATATTTCTTGTTCCCTAGACTTTTTTGATGAGTGTATGAAAATATCCATTTCTTAAGTTTTTTATTTATTTATTTATTTATTTCAGATCAATAAACATTCTTCCATACTACATGCCAACTTATCATTTTGATCGAATAAATACATTGTAAAAAAAGCACCCAGACTGTGACGTCTGTATGTGCAAAGTAGTCTATACATAAAAGTAGGTACTAGTAAAACTAGCAAAAACATGTGATCTGTGAACAACATTAGGTTGGTCTGACCAAACGAAACAAATCATAGGAAAAGCAATAAGTACTATAAATATAAAAAAGTAGACCTAAACACTTCATAATGTAGGCTTTGCCTCCAGGATATCAATAGATATGGTGTAGACCAGCAACACGTGAAAAGGTAGTTGACAGCAGTTGTCCCAGAGACAGATAATTTTTTATACTTTGTCAATTTTCATTCAATTTTTCACAATTAAAAAGTATATATTATTGATTACAGAGTGAACTTTCATTTAAAATTTTTGATAAACTCGCTAAGGCCTCCTACAAACTTCAGAAGTGGGATAATGGATGGATAATTTATTGTGAGGATTACTGGGTCAAAGAAGCCGATTTGTGCCAGTGCAAAATTATGGTTTGCATATTTGTGCCAGTGCAAAATTATGGTTTGTATTTTCATGGCTTAGTGGGACAGAGAAGCCGATTTGTGCCAGTGCAAAATTATGGTTTGCATCTTCATGGCTTAGTAGGACAAAGAAGCCGATTTGTGCCGGTGCAAAATTATGGTTTGCGCCTAGATTTTTGAAAAAAAATGCAGGATCGAGTTCAAGTTAATGGGGAGAATGTATGTATTTATTTCCACTCAAAAGTGGCCTTGTGCAAAAACTTAGAGCTGTCCTTCGACGAAATCAAAGAACAAGTGGCTATTGGTTTGTGGTCGAAAGAACTCAGCAACTTCATTATGTCCAAGGCACATATTGATGAAGACTCTCTTTTTCAAGACATAGTAAGGTATGAGAGAATTGTTAGTGCCCGTAAAACTCGTGCTTCTGATAATCGTTTCGATAAAACAGAAACGAAAAGACCCAATTATGTTAGTAGACCAGGAAATACACGCCATGACACATACAAAGCTAGTGGTACGTCGTCAAATGGGTCCAATGTCACATTCAAACAAAAGTGCTATAATTGTAATGAGTTGGGACATAAGTTCTTCCCAATACTGTAGCAAGCCAGTCCGTCCTAAAGGTTCATGTTATGTTTGCGGTCAAATGGGGCATCAGAAAAAGGATTGTCCTAAGATTTCATCTGGACACACCTCTGGATATGGAAAACTTAAGACTCAGCCTCAATCTACCTCATTATTAGTGGAACCGAAGACTACAAATGCGTATATGATACCAATCTGTTTGAGTAAGAATAATATTTCAATTCATCTTGATACTATTCTGGACTCAGGTAGTGCAATTTCTGTTATAACTTTTGGAACTGTAAAAATGTATGATTTTGAATTTTTAAATGTTCGTCCAAATAAGATTTTTGAAGGCATCAATAAGGCAAAGTTAGAAATATTAGGTTCTATTCTTTTCACTTTAAAAATTTCAGGAATTATTGTTGAAATGCCTATTTATGTAGTACCAGATAGTTCGATTCCTTACAATTGCCTATTAGGTAGGGACTTTATGATGAGTGATCAAATCGAAATTTCTTTTATGGGTGACCAAGTCAAAATTATACCAACAAATAAATATTTAGGTAACGGTGAATTATCTTGCACTGATGACATCTTAAACATTAATTATGTTGAAAAAACTGAAATAGACCTCAATATTAATCCTTCTTTGTGTCCTTTGGATTATAAAAGGCTTGTTGATCTTTTCATGTCTGATTATGTTGAACCAAAAACTAAGTTTGAAATGAAAATTGTTGTTGAGCCTAATCATGTTCCATTTTTTTTTAAACCATCTTATGCAGAAAAAATTGCGGTGCAAGAAATAGTTTCAGATCTTTTAAGCAAAAATATTATTCGCAAGAGCAATTCAGAACATAGCGCTCCCATAGTTCTTATTCGAAAAAAAACTAACGATTACAGGCTTTGCGTGGATTATAGATCTTTAAATAAAATCACTATACGTGACAATTTTCCGATTCCTCTGATTGAAGATCAGATCGACCAGCTCAAAGACAAAAATTATTTCTCTCAACTTGATTTGAAACATGCCTTTTATTTTGTGGACATGGAACAAAGTTCAATAAAATATACATCTTTTGTTACCCCTGATTCACAATATGAATTTCTCAGAATGCCGTTTGGCTTGAAGAATTCACCTTCAGTCTTTATGAGATTCATTCATAATATTTTCAAAGATCTCCTTGAGCAACACAAAATACTTATATATATTGACGATTTATTGGTAGCTACTGAAACAGTTCAAGAAAACCTTGATATATTGAAAGAAGTATTTAATTTGCTTGTTCAAAATAAACTTACGCTGCGGCTTGACAAATGTTCATTTTTATATACAGAAATAACTCATTTAGGGTACGTTATTAATGGTACAGAAATTAGACCTAGTGACAGCCACTTAAAAGCTATCAAAGATTATCCTATGCCTCATAATACAAAGCAGTTACACAGTTTTATTGGACTAGCTTCATATTTCAGGAAATTTGTACAAAACTTTTCAATTATTGCAGGTCCGCTTTACAATTTACTTAAAAAAGATGCACAGTTTAATTTTGGCCCAGAGCAAATCAAAAGTTTCCACACTTTAAAAGATTCATTAGTTTCAAAATCAGTTTTAGCCTTGTATTCTCCAAAAGCAGAGACTCAAATTCATTGTGACGCTAGTTCACATGGTTTTGCTGGAATACTTATGCAGAAACAAGCCGATTTTAAATTCCACCCAGTTTTCTTTTATCACAGTTTTGTGTTGGAATTAAAAGCCATAATAAATACTTTAAATCGCTTCTGAGTTTATTTACATGGCATTTCATTTAAGATATTTACAGACTGTAATAGTGTTGCAGCTGCTTTAAAGAAAAAGGATATCAACCCTAAAATTATGCGATGGAGTCTGATTCTTGAAGACTTTGATTATACATTAGAACATAGAAGTGTTACGAATATGCGACACGTTGATGCATTGAGCAGGTGTTTTGGAAATGTTCTAATTTTAGACGAAAATTCTTTCGAGACGAATCTTATCATTAAACAGGGCCAAGACTTGAAAATCAGAGAAATAAAATCTGCTTTAGAAAAATCTGAATCAAAACTTTTTGAATTATACAATGGCTTAGTTTATAGAAAACATAACAGTTTACTTTTATTTTATGTACCTGAAATGATGGAATCTAACGTGATACGTAGTTGTCATGATGAGTTAGGACATGTAGGTACCGATAAATGCGTTCAAGCAATTATGGAAAATTATTGGTTGCCTGAATTGCGTAAAAAAGTAAAAATTTATATCTCAAATTGTCTCAAATGTGTAGTTTATTCACCGGATAGTGGAAAAAAAGAGGGATATTTACACAATATACCCAAGGGTGATAAACCTTTCAATATTTTACATTTAGACCATTTAGGGCCTTTAGAGAAATCTAAGCAAAGAGGTAACAAATACATTTTGCGCGTGGTTGACGCTTTTTCCAAATTTTTGAAAGTTTATCCCTGTAAAACAACCAATTCTGCCGAAGTCATTAAACATTTGAAGGATTATTTTTTTTACTATAGCAAACCTTTCAAAATTATAACAGATAGAGGATCTGCTTTTACATCACATGCTTTCTCAGAATATTTAGAGTCTCAAGATATTTTGCACGGTTTAATAGCTACTGGGGTTCCAAGGGCAAATGGACAAATAGAGAGGTACAATCGATTTATTGTTCCTATGATAGCAAAATTAACTGAATCACCTGATCGCTGGGATCAGGTATTGCATGAAGTTGAATTTGCTGTTAATAAAACTGTCAATAGATCCACTCGACAAACGCCCTCTAAGTTACTGTTTGGCATGAATCAAGTAGGTTCTATCAATGATCATTTAAAGTTCTTTCTTTCATCCAATAATGATAAATCTGAGAATTTAGAAGACTTGCGTGAAACAGCTAGCAATAAAATAAAACAAGTTCAAGAAGTTAATAAGTTTTATTATGATCAAAGACACAAAGAAGCCAAACTTTACGGAATTGGTGATTACGTCATGATTCCCAATGTTGATGTTACTGCGGGAGTCAATAAAAAACTCCTTCCAACATTCAAAGGACCTTATGTGGTAAAAAAGATTTTGCCCAATGATCGGTATGTGATTGAAGGATTTCAAGTTACCCAAAGGCCCTTTGAAGGAATTTTCGATGAAGATCATATTAGGTTATGGATAAAATCTCCAGAGTAAAAAAAAAAAAAAAAAATATGCATTGTTATAATATCTATCTATTTTTTTTTTTTACTATTTTTAACACTTATATTTTGTTCGTTTATTAATGCTTATCCTTTAAAACCTTATGCCTTTATTACTTATGAATTTATGTATACCCTTATGAAACTCATGTAACTGATGAATTTATGTATGTATACCCTTATGAAACTTATGTAACTGAAGAATTTATGTATATATTTATGATACCTTATGTTCTTATGATACCTTAAATCCTTATCATACCTTATGTACTTATGATACCTTCTGTCCTTATCATACCTTATGTACTTATGATACCTTATGTTCTTATGATACCTTATGTTCTTATGATACCTTATGTCCTTATCATACCTTATGTACTTATGATACCTTATGTCCTTATCATACCTATAATAGATAATAGAGGACTGGGGTAACAAAAACCTTGTACAGTTCAACGCGCAGAAAACCCAAGCAGCTCTGTTTTCAAAAAAGACCAGCACCGGTGAGCCAAACATCATGCTATCTGGAAGTGCTGTCACATTACAGAGTCAGTTGAACATCTTGGGGGTTACTGCAGAGACCAACATGTCTTGGCACAGTCACGTGGCAGATATTGCTAAAAGGGCGTCCCAAAAGCTGGGGGTGCTATTTCGTACAAGACATCTGTACACACCAAGCCAATTGCTATTGGCACTGTTATTTTATTGCTTGTCTTTCTAGTTTTTTGTCTTATTTTTACTCTCAACACTGACATCTAAATTTTAACTTAGTATACATTTTTAGGATATAGGAAATTAATTTTAGACTTTTTTTTTTTTTTTGCTTTGTCAATGGAATTTGCATAATTTTTTGGACAATAAAGCTTTTTTGATTTGATTTGATTTGCTGATACTCTACAAAGCCCAGATTCGACCAACTATGGAGTACTGCTCACATATATGGAGTGCAGCACCCAAACATACCTTAATACTTTTGAATACCGTGCAAAAACGAGCTATCAAGCTGATCAATGACCCCGCACTTACTCGTAACTTGGATGGTCTCGAACATCGCAGATCTGTGGGCGATTTATCTCTCTTCTACAGGTACTATCACGGAAAATGCTCTGAAGAGTTGGCACGTATGATTCCACCGAGAGTAGCACCTACCAGGCGAACCCGTCAAACAGACGGTAACCATAAATTTACTGTCAAACTAGAGGCACCAAGAACCTCATTATATCAGAATTCATATCTCTGGAGAACAGCATCGCTGTGGAATAAACTCCCTGCGACGGTTTTCCCTGCAGGTTACAACCTGAACCGTTTCAAGACCAACATACACCGACATTTCCGCGCACTTGCCGCTTCTCGAGCGTGATAGGACATTTCCTTGCAAGTGCGCATATCCGTAAAAAAAAAAAAAAAAAAATACCTTATGTACTTATGATACCTTATGTCCTTATCATACCTTATGTACTTATGATACCTTATGTTCTTATGATACCTTATGTCCTTATCATACCTTATGTTCTTATGATACCTTATGTTCTTGTCATACCTTATGTACTTATCATACCTTATGTACTTACGCTACTTTATCACGTCCTTATGATACCTTATGTCATTATGCAAGCATGTCTATCTTATGAATAATTTATGTTAGGTTTTATGTTTTATAGGCGAGGTCGCCTATATTTGTCAGGAAAGCCGAGTTGTAGGCTTTGCCTCAGGATATCAATAGATATGGTGTAGACCAGCAACACGTGAAAAGGTAGTTGACAGCAATTGTCCCAGAGACAGATAATTTTTTAAAGTTTGTCAATTTTCATTCAATTTTTCACAATTAAAAAGTATATATTATTGATTACAGAGTGAACTTTCATTTAAAATTTTTGATAAACTCGCTAAGGCCTCCTACAATAATTAAAAAAAAAAAGCTTAATTAAGAATTAGGGTTGAAGATGTTGCAATTATTGTTGTTACACGAATCCTCCCTGTGACAAAAGAGCCAGGCCGGCATTGTGATTATTAAAGATGTAAGATTTACACATTCTGGAAAAGTTTTATTGATAAGTTTGTTATTATGAATTATGAATGACTTTACGGTCAGCCGTGTTTTAATATTTTACTGTTACTGATACTGACACTATAAATCCAGCTTTAGTTGCTACTGACAATTATGGCTAATTGTCAGTTTCAAGTGACAATTATACCTGAATGTCAGTTCCAAGTTACAATTAATTATGCCTAATTGTCAGTTCTAAGTGACAATTATACCTAATTTTCAGCTCCAAGTGATAATTATGGCTGATTGTCAGTTCTAAGTAGGTAACAACAACCAGGGTTGGAAAAAACCTACGATTTAGGAAAAAAAAAATTAGGTTTTTAGGTTTTTTGAGATTTTTGGGCTGTTTTAGGTTTTTTAAGGTTTGTTAAGGTTTTGTGAGGTTTTTTAGGTTTTTTTAATACCTACAGTTGTAACACACGATTGATGATGTAGGTACATAAAATTTATTCACATAATGATAGCTAAACCAATAAATAAAACATAGATATAGAATTCTGGAAAAAACTAGTTAACAATATTAGGTAAATAGTGTGGTGGTAAATGTTTTTTTTTTTTAAAAGAAAACCTAAAATGCCCATATTTTAGCAAATAGTATATTGTGTATTTAGGTGGAAAAGTGACACATTCTCAGCCGACAGTGTAAGTTGACGGGCGAGGCGTAGCCGAGGCCGGCAAACACAGAAGGCTGAGAATGTGCTTTTCCACCAAAATACACATACTATTTTTTCTGCGATCGGTCAAATACCTGTTAAACCTAGGTTTCAAAAAACCTATACCTGCCAACCCTGACAACAACTATACCTGATTGTCAGTTCTTAAGTGAAAATTATTGTCAGCTCGAACTGACAATTTTATTATAGAGGATTAAAAAAAGAAAATCAGATGTTTGTTCAGCGCTTTCGTAGAATTGAATTTTTGCTTACTTGAGCCATTGTTTATGCACTAGAGCCACAAATCTTTCTTCTTTCGAGGATTTTTTCAGGTACTTTGCTGGTATTCCTAGTTCTTCAAAAACTGACTCCATGATATTTTATTTTGGCTTAATATAGTGGCTCGAAATTATTACAGAGGCATTCTAGAAATATCACAGGGGTAAAGGATCTTTGTTATTTATTTTGAAATAATAATAAAAATAATATAAATTGTAAACATAACCTATATTTTGCATTAATAATAAATGTCACTTTTGATTAGAGGTTTTGACGTTTGTCAAATCAAAAATTGAATTATAGGAAACTGTAATTTAAGGGGCGTTTATTTTATTGTTTTTTGTTTTTAAATAAATAAAATTTATTGCAAAATATTGTTTAAATAATAATTTATAGCCTAAATCAAGTTAATAATTTAATTTTAATGTAATATTAATACAGAAATCCAAAAAAATATTCTATTGTCAAATATAGATGTCGCTGTAAGCGTGAAATTTATAAAACCGGGATCGCCATTGTGGCGTGTCGGCTGCTCTTTCCTGGCCGTGCCTTTTGAACATTTTCATCGGAATTTTCCTCGGTGCAGTTTTCCAGAGGAAAATAGTGTTTAGTGTTCGATTGCCCGATTATTGCTCGGCGGAAAACTCACAACTTGGACCGTCTTCAGGTGCGTTAAGCTCAAGATAATCGACCAAGTAGTGCCCAAAGTTTTCAAACATCGATTTCAGTTTATAATGGCCTACCCAGCCGTATTTAATTTCTTATTGGCATGTGTATACGTTTTGTTTTGACGATTTTCCTTAGTTAAACTTGTTAATTTTTAGAGAAAATTGTGTTTTTCTTTGATTGAATGGTTACGAAATTGTTAGGTGAAGTTTTCTTTTAGATTTGCAGTTTTTAAATGTCCCAATATTTGTATTGTTTTTCTTTCATTGGTGGATTAAATGCATAATTAATTTCTTGTTTTTATAAATGATTCATTTTGATTGATTTTAAAAAGCAGTATTTTTTTAAGACCCTCCTAATACCTATTAGATTGCCCTATGAAAGCAAAAATAACATTTAAAAAGAAAATTAAGTGTTAACAGATGCTTCTTGTTCCAATAGGTCCCACATCCTGTTCAAAAAAGGTCTTTATTTATTTGCTGTAGGTTGAAAATTTGAAATTGCCCTTGACTCTTGTCGGAATGTCCTTCAAAGCCTTCTAAAATGTGTTTTGTAATCACTGATGGGATTTATAATTGTCAGTAAATTTAAAGAAAAATCCAAGTATTGACTTTTATTTTTGTTAGATTGTTGGTTGGTTTGAAATAGAATGAATACATACTTGTAATAACTAGTTACTTTCACTTTAAGTACAAATTTTTCAGATCCTTATAATAGCAGTAATAAATAATGAGAATCTGTTATTATTGCACCTTTAGATAGGTATTACTTTGGTATGAACTTGATGTTATTTCCATTTATTTTTCAGGACAGGTAAGTATTTCCAAAAGTACTTAAGTATTCAATTTTTAAAAGCAAACTAAGAATTAGGAATAAATAAATTTAAAATCCATACTTCAGAAGCCTGATCCTCGGGCCAGGGAAAAGTGCTCCCCAATAGAACAAATGTTTTGTTTTTGTCAATGTAATCGAAAAGTAAATGAGAATGATAAAGATGAAAAATTTGTTCTCTCGAGGAGCTCTACTCCCTGGCTCGAGGATGGGCCCACAGGTGTTTATAATTGTCATAAAAGAAAGCCCTGGGGCCTTATTCTGCAAGGAACGAACCGTTCGGTTCGGTAGAATTTCTTCGATTGTGACGTCATTTTCGGTTTGGTAGCGCGAAAACCAAACCAAAAATGACGTCACAATCGAAGAAATTCTACCGAATCGAACGGTTCGTTTTTACAGAATAAGGCCCCAGATCTCCATAAAATAAAATCTTATACTTCTTCTTACTTTTATCAATCAATTATTTCCCCTTTGTATGAGGTCAATACGAGGGTCAATAGAATATATTCTTTGGACTATTGTAAGTAAAGTACTTACTTAATGCACTCTTCAAGAGACTAAGAGACATAAAATTATATTTCACATATTAGACCCACAAGTATAAAGTTTGATTTATAAAAGAAAAGCCTTTTTTGTTACATTAAAAATTTCTCCTTTATATTTTTCTTCCTTTCTTTCACTTTTTTACTATTCCAGGCTCTTGAATATCTATTTTCTTGACATTTTCTTCTAAATTATTTTTTTTAAAAAGAGAAAAGAACATCCAGAAGCCTGGAATAGAAAAGAAAAATGATCAATTTTCCCTGAACTTCTCCTCTCTTCAGTGTCAATTTAGGATTATTCCAGGCTTTTGAATTTCTGTTTCTTTCTATAAAAGAATAAGAAACAGTCTAAAAAGCCTGGAATAGAAGAATAATCAATTTTTCATAAATTTCTCTTCTTTTAGTGTCAATTTTTTACCATTCCAGGCTCTTGAATTTCTGTTTCCTCCCAAATTTCTTTTTATAAAAGAATAAAGAAACATTCAAGAGCCTGGAGAAAAGAAAAATGATCAGTTTTTCCCTAATTTTCTCCTTTTCTTTCTTCTTCCTGTTTACCAATGTCCCCTAATCGTTAAACAACAGTCTGCCAGAATCCTATCATTTGTGTACTCTAGTATATGGGGGTGGGGTAACCTATGTTATGGCATGTATTGGTGGGCGATGTTAAAAGGATCGTTAACAGTTTGGATTTGCCCAGGCTGTTGTACAGCGGGGAATTTGGGAACGCCAGGGAAATAGCAGTAAATAGGATATGTGCCTGAAAAAAATAAACATATAGCAATTAATAACCAATCACATTGTATAAGCATTAGCACCTAATAGCATTCTAAATCATGCAGCACACCAGATAGCACCACTGTAACCATGAACTGCTTATTTTCAGATTCTTGTATCAAACTTCTTGACACAATCCATAACCATAACTGCTTCCCCACAATTGTCGCTGTCTTGCATACCAAGTTTGTGTTTGGGTATGAGAGAATTTGTAGTTCTCATTCTGCAATAGACACTAGTTTTTTTATCTGTCAGCCCTTTTAATTTTTGCAAACCACAGTGTTCTTTGGGGTTTTCTTGTTAATTTGTAGTATTGGTTTGAATGACTTCTACTTTTATTGGTAAATTCCAGTCTATTGCCTCCATATCTCTTCCTTAGCTACTCTGAATAGATCATCATAGTGTATTTAATTTAATTTGTTTATTAACGGACTTGCCATTTAGCTTTCACAATCTATCATAAATTACATTTTTTTTCATACGCTCCCAAAAACAGCAATTTTACGGACTCATTCAAGTCCGTAAAATGCTTCTTTTCAGGATTTTTTTTTCTTTCTGGATGCACCTTTATGATTTCAAAAATTAAGGAAAATTTGCAAATTTTAGCGTTCTAAAGAATTCTAAAAAGCGTATGACAAAAAATGTCATACATACTTAAACGAAGTTTTTCAGGACTCATCTGCTATTCCGGACAAATGAAAAACTTCATTTTAGGTACTTGTGACAAAAATAATTATTAATGCACTAAAATTCCAAAAATATATAACCAAAAATCACTTAACAAAGTTAGACAAAAAAATAATTTAAATACAACTACAAAAAATAGAATAGGATAATTAATAGATCACCTACAGTGACTAAATAAACCTTTACATACAGTGGCGACAATAGAGGTCCCGCCGCCATTTTGTGGCCAACCACTTGCTACTTTTAGATATGAATATACAGGGTGTCCGGAAAATACCGTAAGAGCTCTGCACTATGTAGTTGGGTACCCTTCAAGGAACCCCAGAAAAATAATTTAAAAAATCTAGTGGCATTCTTAAGAAAGTTATTAGCATTTTAATGTTTATTAAAATCGGCACTACTGAAAGTATCCTGTTGACAATTTGTCACAGAATTAAATTAAATACCTATGTAATTACCTGGAAAATTCGAAGGTGACTGAAAAATGTTGTCAGCTCAGTTTCTCCTGTTGTAATTTAGAGATTTTGCAATTTTCATAATGCGTTTTAAAGGTTAACAACAATTTTTTTAAAACTAATATGTAATGAATCAACAAAAGATAGCTAACACTTTGTACAAAATATTGCAATTTGAAAGAAAAATCAAAAATAAGGAAGTTGAATTTCCACATTTACCTCTTCATATTTCCAAGAATGGTCGAGAAGGATTTTTTAAATTATTTTTCCAGGGTTACTCAAAGGATCCACTACTACTTAGTGGAGAGCTTTTACGCTATTTTCCGGACACCCTGTATAGGATTTAAATGAACATCCATCATAAAAAATTGAAAACAATGTATTTGATGTGCCTAATTATAGTCATCGGATAGGTTGTTTTCGGTAATTTAATTCAATTCAAGAATTAACTTGATAAGTTTCTTGAAACAAGAAAGATCAGTTCACAAAAGATCAGCATTATCACACTTTGAATTTGCCAGCCCACATATTTTGGACATGGGACTATTCAACCCATACCTAGTTAGTTCTATGAAAATCTATTGCAAATAAATCATGCTGACAGGTTAATTTTTGAGAGTCCTCCTAACTTCCAAAAGTGGTAAATTTAATTTTTCCTACAAATGTTCATAATTAATATCTTCCATGGGAATTCCCAGTTTAAAATTTATAGTTCTCAAAAATCGTCTCTGTACCTTCTCCAAAGAATCTATATAATCATTATAAAATGGAGACCAGGCTGGACTAGCATACTCCAACACTGATCTTACAAAATTACAATACAGTGTTCTAAAACATGTCATATCACGAAAATCAGTCAGTGTTCTATTTACAAAGCCTAATTTATTGCTTTATTCCTCATATAATTTATATGATAATTAAATGTCAACATCAACTCTTTCTAGTTGTTCATAATAGATTTCATAATCAAATGGAATGTTCTGTTTTTTTCTGGATACGGTTAATATCTTACATTTCTGAGTATTCAATTTCATACCGTTTAACTTACACCATAGGTACAGGTTATTTAAGTCTTTTTGTGACTCAAGACAATCTTCAGTGTTCCTTATGGTCCTAAATAACTTCAAGTCATCAACGAATTTAATTTTAGAATCAAGATCATTTATAAAAATGTCGAAAAGTATTGGTGCCAAATGTGATCCTTAGGGCACTCCAGATAACACATTAATATTGGATGATATCACATTCTTTATCTTAACTGCCAGTGTACCGTCTGATAAATAACTCTTAAACCAGACCAGAATTCGACACACACTCCAATTTGTGTAACAAAGTATCGTGCTGTACCCTGTCAAATGCCTTGGAAAAATTGATGTAGACTGAGTCAATCTGATATTTGTTCTCCAAGGCCCTTGCCAGTGATTCAATGTAGATCAGAAGTTTCGTAACAGTTGAACGACCCTTAACAAAACCTTGTTGGGATGACGATAATACACTGTACACTAGGAGCTATCTTATCAGTTACTAATTGACTCAAATAACTTTGCGATAATACTAAACTTAGAAATTGGCCTATAATTATCAACCAAAAATTTATCGCCACTCTTGAAAATTGGAGTTACTCGAGAATCCTTCCTCTTATTTTAAGATATAACAAGGTCCAGCACAGATCCCAAAGGATTTGGAATATTATTTATTTGAAATAAATTGAGACACCCCTGTCATCACACAGCCACTTGATTTCAGAAAGTTTAAAATCACCGCACAAACAGTTCCTATTACAGTTGATCTTGCTTAAAATTTCCTCAATTGATTGACTGTAGGCTTCATAGATCTCTACTGAAAATTGAGGAGGTATATAAACCTTACTTAAACTTTTTCTTCCCTTGACAGACAGTATTACAAACTTTATCCATTACAATAAGAACTCCTTTTCCTCGTTTAAAAGTGCTAGTTTCAGCCGACCTATCCCATCTAAACACATAATAATCATCAAAATTTTGTATACTTGAATTTCGCAATGCGTTGATATTGGCTCCAAAGATGCATCTGTATATATTTTTTCATGGTCCGAGTATTCCTCCAACGACTCCTGTAATAAGAGTTGGCCATCTGGACTGAACTTTTGTATATTCAAATCCACCCAGTCTATTTTCCGCAGTTGAATTGTCATATCCTTTTCGAAACATGGCAGATTGTCTGATCTTGATATGTATAAATGTCTCTGATTCGCTTGAATTGGTCTACTGACTTCTGAAGCTCTTCTTGTAAGATTCAGAACTGGAAAGTCTCTATGATCCAAGTTCCCTCTCTGTCCTATATGTTCATATTTTTTCGGGTGTTTATTCCTTGCTTCAAAATAAGATATGTTTTCTGTTATCATTGTAGGTTTGATTGCTTTTTGTCTCAGGTACTCCTTGCAATGTCAGTCAGTGGTTTTATGTTCCATGTTGCAGTGTAAGTAATTGGGTATGCTTTGTTCACAGTCCCTTTCTTCGTGCTCTCCCACACATATCGGACATATTTGTTTGCCTCAGCACTGTTCGGCCGTATGACCATATCTTAAACATTTGAAACACATCAAAACTGGACTTATATAGACTGAGATCATTAGATCACAGAAATTTAGGTTTACCGTTCTTCAAAATAAATAAAAATCTGCTTCTACTTGCTCATTAAAAATCAAAATTTGAAAACTTTGAAGCTTGACTACTGGGAAACATTGAAACTATCAATTGTAGATTTGTAGAGTTTTTTTTTATTGAAACCCCTTGGATAATTTTGTAGCACCTCATTGACTCTTAGATTAATTCCTTAGTAATTATTATTGTACTTCCTGTTTCTGTTAATTCAATTTAGATCAAGTAATTTAAACACTCTTGTAATCCAATTAAGTAAATATTATTTATTGCAGTTACAAAGGAGCTCAAGACAAGTTTCTAATGCAACCAGATTGACTCAGTACAATTTATGTGGCTTAATTAAGTCAGTTATTTAAAAAAAAAAAAAAATCTAGTACAATTATGTCTGGAGGACCACCACCACATCATCCCCATAACAGACATGTGCCCCCTGCTACTTCAGCTTGGAATCATTTACCAAGTCATAAAATAAGTGTAAGACATTTTCATTCAAACATTTTAAAAATCACCTCAAACCTAATTTTGTAGGTTCCCAGCTATTTTCCAAGACAACCGCAAGCAGCTCATATGCAAGCAGACCATCCTTTACTCCACCAACCCACTTGGCACACACCGACAACCACCGAGGCAATGAAATTGATGCCGCACGCTCAAATGTTGAATGAAATGTTCAAAAACGAAAGCCTGTTTCCAAGAGATTGTGTCGATCTTAGTCTCACTAGGAATGGTCAGAATAATTTTAATATATATTTTTTTTTCAAATAAAAATAAAATTGTTAACATAGGTAATCAAAACGGAGAACCTCCTCCAACTCCAAGCGCAATTAGTCTAAGTGTACGCGACACAAGCAAAATTAATAGTTTGTTAGACCTTCAAGCTATGGAACTAACAAAAAGTGCTGGCCCAAACTTAAAAAAAGCTATCAGTCCAGGTTCTATTGGATTAAAGGCTACTAGTCCTGGATTATTAGTTGGTTCGGGACCTTTAATGAACCTCACTCCAAGTGAGTCTATTTTGACTTCAAGATTCAAGACAAATAAATAATTTCAGCACCCTTTTTAGCTCGCAAATCGCTGAGTCCCGCGCCAAAATCCTCTAGTCCTGGCTTAAATTTGGGTTTACCAGCCACAATTTCTGCTCCGGATTTAAGCAAAAAGCGCAGCAACATAAGGGTGGATTCCATCTTGGAAAGATTGAATCCCACTCCAGAAAAAACATTCCCATTCCATGAAATTATTAAACACGACCAGCTGCCAACTACTACAAGTATAACAATTGTGCCAGCAGAAAAGTCTCATGGTGTAATTGTACAAGCGGCTAATTTTGATGAGAATAGTAATTCTAGTGGAACAACTGTACCTACTCCAAAAGAGGAAGATTCGGCATCAATGCATAGTAATGAAGACAGTTTGGATAGTACAAAATCCAGACGAAAAAGAAAACCAAGTAAAACTGTAAGAGTCAATAAGGAGGATGACAATAAAGCAGAGCCTTATAGTTTAAATCATACACCTACATCAGATCCTGCAACTATAGCTAACATTTTAGAAGGAACACCTTCAAAGGTATCAGAACGTATAGATACTAGCTCAGTGGATGAGTTGGATGGAGTTCTACCAGCCAAAGCAAGGCGGAAAACTTCTAGTGAATCGGAAACTTTGGACGATATTGCTGCTATGGTTCAGGAAGGCTTGAAGGCTGAAGAACAAGTTAAGGTGAGAATTTGTTTGGGAAATTGAGGCTATTAATATTTATGTTTTACAATGCTGCAGGCTGATTCTGGGTTAATTGTAAAAGAGGCAGAAACGGTAATAATTTTTTTAAAATTTAATTTGATTAATTAATAAATTATATATTTGACTTGTAAGCTTGCTAATAATAAAGAGGCAATGGTTGACCAGGAATTAAAGGTAAGCAGTAGTTGGGGTTTGTGTATTTTAAACAAATTATGTTATTTCAAGTCTGAGCCAAAGCCATTAGAATGTTCTAATGCAGTGGATTTATTGGTAAGAATTTTTTGTTTTTGGATTGTTGGGTTATTTAAAAATATTCGTTTTTGTTAAGCCGAAAACTCTAGAGCTAAAAAACTCTAGTTCCAGTGATAAAGTAATCACCCTAGTATTAAATGTTGCGGTAAGCCATTACTTGACATTTTTTTTCTGTAAATTATTGCTCCTTGTATGTTTTAAAGTCTGCTTTACCTGATGGTAATTCAATGGCAATAAATGACGTTAAAGATAACATTGAAAAGGTAAAGATTTATAAGTTTTATCTAAGGAATTTTAATAATTTTTAATTTTTTAACAAGTCTGAAATTGTGACTGAAAAACAACCAGTGGATGAAGAGGTAAGGAGGTCGAGAAATGTTCAAAAACTGCCATGAATCATTGAAACTTTCAACTTTTTCTTTTTCTAGGCAAGATCTACTGAATCGCCAACCACTACCAAACCAGTAACTGTTAGCGTAATCAAATCAAAAGAAATATTTTCTAGCCCTAAAGAGGTTGCAGCTCCTTTAGTAACGCCTGCACAAAAAAAAGCATCCATCACACAAATTTTAGAGGTATATTAAAATCATATAAGTACCTTTGAATAATAATTACTACTGATTATTTCCAGGTTGAAAACAAATTAGAAGAAATGTTTGCCGGTATAGTAGAAGAAGACGAACCAAAACCAACTGAAATCGATTTGGAAACTGGTAAAAACGATTCCTCTCTAGGGTTGACAGATGATAGCAGTTTTATTGCAAAGGAATTGCCTGTGCCAAATGACTCAATAAAACCTTCAGAAGAATCACCAAAACAAGACATTAAAAAAGATGAAGAAGAAGACAAAAAAACGCCTAAAAAACAAAAAATTAGGCCTAGCGATTCGGAATCGGCAGAAGTTCCAGCGAAAAAGAAGAGATTCACAAAAACAAAAGGATCGCCTAAAAAAGCGGTTCCTAGAAAGGGCTCCGTTACCCCAAATAAGGCACTTAACAAAGTGTCTAGTTTAGATTTATCATCCAAGGTAACTTTGGTTGTTGTTAGTAACTATAACTTGTCACTTTTTGAAATAAAAATGCCAAGAAAAGTAACAATTCTATCATCAATTTATCAATAATTAATTCTTTTTTTGTTTTAGGATATAAGCTATTATGACTCAAACAGTAATGCTAGTTCCAGTAAATCTCGAGGTCCATTTGTACAGATTCGAGGGCCTCGAGATTCTCCTTTGTCAGTGAGTGTAGTAAACGCCCCATTAGGTGACGAAGATGGCGAAAGAAAAATAATTAAAAATAAAAAATTCCATGACGATAGTGAATACAGGTTTGTGTTTTGCTTACCAATAATAATTAATATTAATATAATTATTTTCCTAGGCATAAAGTGAGATCAAAAGGACTACATTGCAGCACACTGAGTACAAAATACGATGCCGAAAGGAAAGATGCCAGTTGGATTTGTGCTTTTTGTAAAAGGGGACCCCATGCTAGTGAACTTACTGGTAAAATCTTGTAATTTCAATTAATATCTATAATTTAATTTCAAATAATTCAGGTCCAACTGCTATGAGCGACGTCCCGCCTCCTGGAGATTTGTTTGGACCTTATGTTATAACAACACAATGTCCAGAGTTTGAAAAACGACTAGACGATCCTTATGATAGGTAACCAATACTGTAAAAATAATGTGGTTTTAATAATAATAAATTATTTTTTTGAAGGCAATTCAAAAGTCGAAAAATCACAAAGGTTTTGGACGCTGCAAAATCCACCTCAATCTCCAAAAAAACAAAAAGAAAGTCTGAATCTTCATCAGTGGACCCTACAGATGCTCATTTAGGAATTACAGCTACCGGCAACAATAACACCTTTGAAGTGTGGGTGCACGAAGACTGCATGGTGTGGGGTTCTGGAATTTATTTGGTGGGGGCGAAAATCGTGGGGCTCGAAGAGGCAGTTTGGACTTGTTCGAATATGTCTTGTTTTGGGTGTGGTTTAAAGGGGGCGAACGTAACGTGCGTGAAAAGGGGTTGTTTGAACATTTCACATGTCAGTTGTGCTCGTAGAGCCTCATGGCAGCTCGATGAGGAGAATTTTAAAGCTTATTGTCCAGATCATTTGCGTTAATAGGTAACAAAAATTGGGGTTTGTTTAGGCACTTTAGGCTGCATAAAAAAAAAAAATCGTTGGATTTGTTTTATTTTGTGTAAATTATCAACTAGTCAGTAAATGAGATTTATTTTCTATTAGTAGGTGCCTACAAAGTCTAATTTTTGTTACAATTCTATTATTTAAAAAAAAAAGAAAACGTTTATATTGTGATGATTTTAAATTATTAAGGTACTTTATTACTTTATTTTTCAACCCTTGTATAAATGCGGACGTGTCTGTTTCTTTATTTGCAAGTTGTAATTTTCTGGTAGAGGCGAGTATTTCGATATTTTAACTTTATTGGTTCAACTCTTTTTATAATATTGTTTTAAATGATATTGTAAATATACACGTTAGTTTACAATTAACATTTTAGTTGTATATTGTACAAATAAATGTATTGTATTTATTGTTTGATTTTTATGTATGTACCTATTTTTACCTTTTTTGTGTTATGTTGAATTGTACACAAAACGTCTACTCTACAAGTGTTTTTGAATTTCTCATACTCCGAGTATTTTTTCAATCTCTAGAGCTTCTACACAAAAGAACAGAGCATCACAAATTTTGAATGAAACAAACAAAAGTATGTGTATATTGAACTTAAACTGATCAACATCGAGAATTAACCTCAGGGGAGGAAATAAATACAACTTATTAAAAATAACAATTTAATTCCTATGATCCAAGAACAACGGTTACTTGTCTATATTATTAACTTTACAGAACAAACTAAGAAACAGAAATAACTGCAACAGAGAATTACTTGTTTTCAACATTCCAAATAGTACGATTTTCCTTTTTTGACAAATATATCTGCAACAGTTATTTCATATTATCAATTTTTAGAACAATAATTATCTAAAAAAAAAATTAGTCTTAAAAGCATACAAATTTACAAAAAAATTTAGACATAATAATATTGTTTATAAAGCAAAAAAATATACAACATAAAGAGGATTGTACATATTATTGAAGAAATCCACCACAAATCATCCTTTTTTTTTTAAATAATAATAAAAAATATAATACATAATACAATATTAATATTAAAAAAGTGCTATAGGCTAGGACCATGGTTTAAAGGAAGTTCACTGCCAGCACATTATTATATACAATCAAACAAGTTACAATTTCCAAATCCTCTATAAAACGAATATTATTGCAACTTACAAAATTAAAAAAATAAATTATTCAAACAGAGAAGCAAGCACACAAAAATTGGCAGTTTGTTTAAAAAAAAAAAAAGGATTTTTCATTCGTTCATATTGAGCTGAACATCTATTATTTTTCTATTAACACTAATCCCTTCTTATAAAAGTTCTACCACTGAAAAAAAAAAAAATAATTAGTATTAGGTATAGAGAAAAATTTACTAAGAAAAATCTTACGTGATAGTCTTTTTGTCAGTTGACTTCGTCTCTGGTCTAGCCCTATTAAGCACCTTAAGGAACTCGGAAGTCTTGGCCCTCATCCTACTATGAATATAAGCCTTTGAACACTTAATGTGATAGTGCAAATAGTGCCTGAACATATGAATCAAATTGATTGTGTTGTCCCTGGTATTTTTCGCTGTGTGCCTTGGAAATAGGACAAACGTCACATAGCCTTAAAGATTTTTTTTTTAAATTGTAAAAATAAATCAAATTTTTATAGACAGTTCTTACCAACATTATCATCAACTTTAGCATCAGTATCTTGCAATTCTAAAGGAGGTTCTCGGTGACTGAATAATACAGGTGGCGCTGTGTGGGACGCTCTTAAGCCTTCTTTCAATTCTTGCATAAATACTTTGCCTATTATTACGTCATCTTCGTCACGAAACCGCGTTGAAAACACTACAGTTACCCTATCCGATTTCGCTTCTACGTATCTATAAAAAAAAAAAACAATCAAATATTTAATTTATGTTTATAGTCTATAAACCCTATGCAATGGTTTTATATTGACTTTATGTAATTTACTTACAAAGTTTCATCGGTTCTGTAATGAATCACTGCTCTTTTCTGGCCTTCGTCGCCGGCCTCTTGAAAGTTGAAATACTTTTCGAAAACTGATGCGAAACAATTTCGTTTTAGTAGGCCCAATTTTTTGACCACTTCTGGCCAATCTGAAGGGATGTTTTCCAAATCTAGTAGGCATGTTACGTTGTAGCCGTTTTCCGGTGGCACCATCAAGTAGGAGTCATATTCGCGTTTAAGCAGTTCGTCAGCTCCGTGTTCTTGTAGTTGTTTGTAGAATTTTAATGCTATACTTATCTGGAAGAGATTTATTATGAACTTGTGAGGATATGAAGTTTAAAAGATCATAACTTTTTTTCTATTATAGATAAAAAGCTGAAATTTTGACTGACATTTATCTCAATAAAGAGACTACAATCCCTAAAAATTTCAGCTCATGTGCACCTATAGTATAGAGTTTAGGGGATGTTAATTGACCATTAGGATACAAAATCTCAACAACAAAAAATTTGAAATTTTATCGTTTTAGTAAGAAGGTAGCTACCTTATGATTTAGATTTTGGACAACTTTGGAAGGCCATACCATTTTTTCTATTATAGATAGAAAGCTGAAATTTTCAGCGATTCTTATCATAGTATAGAGGACTATAATTCCTGAGAATTTCAGCTCATTTGGACTTATAGTTCCAGAAATAAAATCGCGTTAAGCAATGTGGGGTGAATTCTTCAATTTTTCAGTTTCTTGACATCCTTTTTCGAAGATTTTAGATTTAAATTCCATAATAATTTAGTGATTACAGTTTGGGGGGTTCCAAAAAAATATAAAAAATCATAAACTCACCACAAGGTAAAGTAAGTACATACAGGGTGTCCCACGGTGGATGGCGTATTAGACGTTTATGGAGAACTAAAAAGCGGATCATTTTTAAAATTTGGCAACCGGGATAAACGACCATAATCTACACTTTAAAAATATTTTTGTTTATGCCGGGTTGCCGCTTCTACTCTAAACTAGTGGCAACATCGCTATTTTAAATGGAACACCCTGTATGTGCTTGCATATTTCGATTCTACGTAAAATTCTGAGCAGATTTCATGTTATATACCCTATACCTAAGTTCAACTGTTTTGGAAATAATGACAGTCCAAAATTGACTTTTTGCAAATTTGACAGGCTGTAAAACCTGAACGGTTAATTTTAGAGGAAAACCGATTTTACATTCCTATCTTAGATTTTTATAAACTATAATTTGACACCAACTTTGAGTTTAATCCATGATTAAAAATCCCAATTAAATTTAATCTCCGGTTAAATTCAGAGTTGGTGTCAAATGATAGTTTATGAAAATCTAAGATAGGAATGTTAAATCGGTGTTCCTCTTAAATTAACCGTTTGGGTTTTACAACCTGTCAAAGTTGCAAAAACTCAATTTTCAACTGTCAATATTTCCGAAATAGTTGAACTTAGGTATAGGGTATTTCACATGAAATCTATTCAAAATTTTACGTAGAATCCAAATATGCAATCACATACAGTGTGTTCCATTTAAAATAGCGATGTTGCCACTGATTAAGAGTAGAAGCGGCCACACCGCATAAACAAAAAAAATTTTGAAAGTGTAGATTATGGTTGTTTATCCCGGTTGCCAAATTTTCAAAATGATCCGCTTTTTTAGTTCTCCATAAACGTCTAATATGCCATCCACCGTGGGACACCCTGTATATTGAGAATTTATAACTAAAGTCAGTTTATAAAGTCTATAGACTTTTTTAAGTGTGTGATCTGAGATTTTAAATGCTGATTGGCTAAAATTAGGGGATATGTTAAAAATTGGAAATATTATTGTGGAATCACCCTCATCTATCATGTCAAGAAGTTGTGAATCGAGTTTTTTATTCTTGAAAGAGAAGTTTCATCAAAAAAACTTGACTAGGATAGGTAGGTAACTGGGCAAGTGGACATTCACAATGGGATATAATAATAATAATAATAATAATAAAGCCTTTATTCATAATTAAGGTGCGAGGTAGTAATAAATACAACAAATGAGACGGCGAGATCTAGCTTAGCTATTCTATCTAACCGTCGCGTCAAAAAATTATAAAGAAATTTTACCTAATATTATAATAGTAACTAGTAACTAACAGATACCTACTATAAATTATAAACTGTAGAATATAATGCTAAGTACCCAATAATAAAATAAGAAAGAATTCTTAACTGATTATAAATTTCAAATTAAATCTATTTAGACCGAGACTCAGATCATATTACACTTTTTGCGGCGTTGTAGCTAAATGATCGTTGATATTGTCCTGTTCGATGTCTGGGTATGGTCAACTTTTGACAGTGCCTTGTCTGTCTATCATGCACCGCACTTCCCCTGACGAGCCTATCAAATAGGTATTCAGGACATTTTGTTTGAAGAACTCTGTAAACCAGGGTAGCCATATGCAATTGACACCTTTTTTGCAGGTTCAACCACTTGGAACTTGAAAACAAAGGAGTGACATGATCAAATTTTCTCATATTGTAGGAAAATTTTAAACAAGAATTTTGTAATTTTTGAAGACTATATTTTTCTCTCACAGTAAGAGCCGGCCAATAGACCACATCGCAGTAGGAAACTAAAGATAAAATAAGAGAATCGCACAAGCGTAATTTTATTTCGGTAGTGAGAGCTTCCTTGTGCATATACAGAACTTTGAGCTTGTAATAGGATCTACACAGAATATCTGCCACGTGATAGTCAAATCTAAGCTGATCATCGATTATTACCCCTAGATTTTTGCTATATTTTACCAGTTTTAACTGTGCACCATCAAGTAAAATAGAATAGGTACCATTATCAAACTGCTGCCGAATAAACTTACCAAAGCATAAAAGCTGTGACTTATTGCCATTCAGGACCAGGCCATGAGCTCTTGAAACATCACACAGAGTTATCAGATCTGCATTTATTTTAGCAATAGCCTGTTCAGAATTGGCAGATAAAAACGAACTATAAATCTGCGTATCGTCCGCATATTGATGGGACTTACAAGTCCGTAGATAAGTGCCGAAGTCTGCAGTGTACAAAGAGAACAGGACAGGGCCCAAGATGCTACCCTGGGGAACGCCCTTATGAGTCGTTAGGTAGGGGGATTGCATTCCATTAAAGCAAACTCTCTGTCTCCGCCCTGAAAGGTAATTCTTGAAAAAGAGTATAGCATTTGGACTCATTCCATAAAAATAAAGCTTCCTGCATATTATGTCATGATCTATCGTGTCGAAAGCCTTGCTGTAATCCAACAAAACTAAAACAGATGATTTTCCTTCATCAGTTGCTTTAAAAATATCATCAGAAATATTTAGCAATGCCGTAGTAGTGCTATGTTTAGCACGAAACCCTGATTGAGTAGTAGGCAAAATTTTATTTTCAGTTAAGAAGTCGTTGAGTTGGTCATTGACGATTTTTTCCAGCACTTTCGACAAAGTCGGCAATATACTTATCGGACGGAAATCAGATACTTTTTCTGGAGAGCTTGATTTAGGTAGAGGAGTTATACTGGCATTTTTCCAGGCGGATGGAAATTGTGACTTACGAATGCTAGTATTCAAAATGAAAGTGATATATTTAGTTAAATGTGGCGTCAAGTACGATAACATTTTCAAGTCTATACCATCAGACCCTCTTGCGTTTGATTTTAACATTAAAATATGCCTTTCAACAACTTCCTCAGTCACGTCTTGAAAAGTGAATTCGCCAAGCAAATCGCCTCGACAACGATTAATATAGTTATCGGATATAAAGGTAGGATTAAATGGTATTAGAGGAATACTATCTATAAAAAAGTTATTGAAAGCCTCCGGACTACCAACATTGCCTGGCAGAGCAGGCCTGTTACAATTAATATTTAGATGATTAACAGTTTTCCAGAATCCCTTGGGATCTACCCTATACTTGTAGCGAAGGTAAGCTTTTTTTTCATTTCTTACCGCAGTAGTGACTTAGTTCTTTATAATATGACAATGAGGCATCGGTTTTTAATTTTTTATATCTTGAGAGCGCTTTTTTTTCGTAAACTAATAAGCAATTTAAGGTTGGGAGTCAGCCATGGAGCTGGAGGTTTAGTGAACTTTACAGTTTTTAAAGGCGCATGAATATCAAATAAGTTAAGTACGTTAGTATTAAAAAAATCAAACATTTCGTCAGTATTCTGGTATTCGCATAGCAAATCCCAATTCACGCTGAGTAGATCGGGCAGAAACTTTTCAGGTTGAAAGTTGCGATAGTCGCGAAACGTGCGATAAATTACTATTTTGGCTGGTTTTTGTAAAAACTAGAAAATGATCAGAAATACCGCTCATATCAAGTGTCTCAGTTGCGACTATCATTTCAGGGCTCGTGGTAATTATTAAATCTATAAGAGTGTTTGACGTTTCCGTAACTCTTGTATATGATTGTACCATCTGAGACAAGCCATATTTATTCAAAAACCGATTTAGATATTTGGTTCCAGTATGATTTTTGTTTAAGATATTTATATTTAGATCACCTCCAAATAATATAAGATTAAATTCAGGCAAAAGTTCAGCAATGGTACCCTCTAAATCATCCAGACATGTTTCCAAGCTGGCAACTGGTGGTCTGTATAGCGAGCCAAAAGCGAAAGTTTTTGCACCAATTTTGGTAGAAACCCAAATCTGTTCAAAGGAGCCTGCGGGCAGAGTAAGTAGTTTAAATTTCAAAGAAGACTTGATGTACAACGCAACTCCTCCGCCTCTACCATCTCGATCTTTACGAACAAGTGTGTAATCCTCAACACTCACGCAGTCGGAGGAAATGCCGGGCTGCAGCCACCTCTCAGATAAACCTACAATGTCATAATTACCATCAATGATGGAATCAACAAATTTATCAAAATCAGATGTAAGAGATCTGACGTTGAAGTGAGCAAAAGTAAAGGTTTTGTCTACGGTCTCCATGTAAAAGATACAATCTGTATTGTTAAGCATACACGTTGCCCCACAATAAAAGTACAAAAAGTATTGGTTTACCAGATAGTTACGATGTTTTACAAGTTAAGCAATCTGCATAATTAATTAATTGATTAATACATAGGCACATTAGAAAACTTAAAAAAAAAAAAAAAACAAATATGCAATCAATAGAACATTCCATTCCACTTAAATCCGTTCAATCACAAAACAGTTATAATAATGAACAATAAACCAAATGAAATAATATATTCCCTATACCTACACGGTTGGCAAGCCAGCTTCTTACATGCGGAGATTTCCAGTGCTATGTATACAGTAAATTAATATATATGTATAAAAAAGCAAGCCATTCAAATACATATTATAAAAGCGATAGCTGAATTGTAAATGTCCCAAAAAATCTATAAATTCAATAAATTCCAATTCCAATTCATGACAATTGCATTTTATTACCTTGCCCAAAAAAAAAAAAGAAAACAAGCAGAATTATACCTAAGTTTTTTTATACCCATTTTATTTTCTCCTTTCGAGCCAAACCATTTAAACATTAGGGAGCCCTTGTAATGTCCCGTTAAATATCACTTTTGGACTCGATTGAAAGCTTCTTCTCAGTTTCGGAGTTCCATGCGAAAATCTTCCCATGCTTTGTTTTTTCCAAATTTCTTCTTTGCCAGAGTAAGTAATTCGTATTTATGCTGAGTCAAGTCTTCAAAAATGGAAATAGTTGACATTTTCAGGGTTTTTTTAGCATGAAAAATCTCGTTTCGTTTTATGTTTGTCGTGAAGTTCACAATAATTGGAGTCGGAGTATCTTGGTTTTGCTCTTTAAATTTAAGACGAAAAGCGTAATCTATATCGGTCTTGGAGAGAGAAAGTTTTAATTTATCAGATAACAAATGTGGGAGCTTATTAGCAAGATTCTCAACATCAGATTCTTTGACGCCACATATTCGTAAAGTATTTCGTTTAGATTGTTGCTCTAGATCAGCGGTTCCCAACCGGTGGGTCGCGACCCCTAAGGGGGTCGCATAGGGTTTTTGGAGGGGTCGCAATGCCAATATTATTATCGCTCACTTCAATTCCTTGAGAATGAAATGAGTGTCTTCCTGCTTGTGCTTTCTTCTCGGATACTAATACCATTTGCCTTTATCTACCTTCGTGAAAGTGGTTTTGCAACTTTTTTGCAAATTAGGACAAAGGCCAGAAATAGACTGGGTGACCGGGTGACTGGGCGTTCAAGATGACGTAAGATTGGCTTTAACAAAAACTCAACCAAGAATTTTAAAACTTGTGACGGAGATGCTATCTAAAAATTGACTTTTTGTATTTAGTTACGAAATATTAATACTTTTGTTAAAGATTTCTCGATTAAATGAAGTTTTGCTTTTTATTTAATAATGGGTAGGGGGTCGCGACCTTATGAGCAAATGTGTAAGAGGGTCGTGAATAAAAAAGGTTGGGAACCACTGCTCTAGATCATCAATTTTATTCTGAAGTTTTAAAATTTGTTGCGAATTACTTTTCACCCTCAATTCTATTGTTTCCAGGGTATCACAAACCTGGTTCAATTTGGAGTGGATTTCGTTAATTTTTGAACCAAGCTCATCTTTTAATTGATTAACAAAGTTAGTGCATACCTTGGCGATGAGCCTTTCAAGATCGTCTTCTGTCTTGGCGCCGCCGCTTCTGGTATTTACCGGGTTATTGTTTCGACCCATGCTGCAACAACTCTCTAATACGGGTCAGGGGTACACTGTGATTGGTCGCAACTTTGTTCTTCTATATTTACGAAATGGGGTTGTTTCACTGAAAACTGCAACCACGAGATCAAAGTCTAGATACCCAACTCGCAACAGGAAACACATCAAGCACAAATATTAAAATAAACACCACTGTAATCACAAGTTAAATGTGGAGCACGTGAACAGACGTCTACTCGCTACGGTACAACATTATTATATCCCATGTAGGTAAAACATCCTGCAGGAAATATCCAAAACTCTCCAGGGAAAGGAGTTTTAGGGAAATCTGGGAAGGTTTGGGGAAATCTGGGGAGGTTTGGGGAAATCTTGTGAAGTTTGGGGAAATCTGAGGAAAGTCTTATTAAGTCAGAGTTCAGAATTTAATGAGTACACCTCAGGAGTTGTGTTCTGGCTGTGTGCTTGTGCTGGTATCAGGGTTGGCAAAAATCATGATATTTATATAAATATCCAATTATCCGATAATTCCGATATATATCAGGGTGGACCAATTTGGACACTTTCTTATGGAAACACCCTTTATTTTTAGAGATAGAAAAAAATGAACCCGCCACTCTGAGGCTCAAATTTCATGAAATTTTGATTGGTGCAAACCGCATTTTGATATCTTTAACCGTTTAGCCGCTAGAGGTTTCACATTATTGCTCAAAATCGAGAATCGCCCTCTAGCGGCTAAACGGTTTAAGATATCAAAATGCGGTTTGCGCCAATCAAAATTTCATGAAATTTGAGCCTCAGAGTGGGGGGTTCATTTTTTTCTATCTCTAAAAATAAAGCGTGTTTCCATAAGAAAGTGTCCAAATTGGCCCACCCTGTACAGTGTGTCCGAAATTCGAGTCTCTACATGGGTATTTGGCTTATTATGAGAGATACAGGGTGGCTCAAATTAGGAAAGTTTTAGGGAATTTATTGCTCATTTATATCCTGTTGTTAAATTTGCTTCAAAATTTTCTGTTTCCTAGAAATCCGGGAGAAACTGAAAATAGCCAATTTTCTTCTTTGTCAATAATTCATAAACCGTTAACTTTAGACTTTTCTAACTTTAACATTATTAAGACACTTTTTTGAGACGGATATTTTCGTGATTTTAAAACATTCCGATCGTCGTTTGTTTTCGAGTTATTAACCAAAACTTCCTTATTTCTTATGGCGGCCATCATAATATTCTGCGAAAAAAATCCTTTAAAATGATGTATTACAAGCTATGGAAACGTTTTGCAAGTCCTTCAAAATTACAGTTGGAACCGATATTTTGCTAAATTTGGCAACAATGCTCATAGTTATAAGAATAAAATCAAATAAGTATGATTTAATACCTAAAATCGGTATTTTTGAAGTCTTCTGGCACTTTTACTGGATAAAGAAAAAATAAGTGGGTAAGGTATTCCACGTTTTTCATGTTAAAATTACAGGCCTTATCTCGCTTTAATCCAAATTATTCCATATTTTGACAATATCTCCAGTAAGCCCATTCAAAGTGTTAGGAGGGTTAGGAAGCTCTTAAAAATGGCGACAGATCATGTCCCAGCCATCCTCAATTGGGTAAAAATCAGAACTGTTTGCTAGCCAAACCATAGTTTCAATTCCAACCTCATTAAAATAGAAATAAGTATGTGGTGCGTTAATTTTGCTGACCAGTGTATATCAAAATTTGGATATTTATTTATATTTTTAATTATAAGAAATCTACAACTTAGGGCGGCTATTATAAAACTATTTTGACAGAATAATTAGAAGTCAACTTCTGGAATGACGTTACTTCCTATAGTAATTCCAGAAGTTAGCTTTCATGTATCTGTCAAAATAGTTTCATGATACCCGCCCTAAAAACCTAATATTTCTTATACCCGAGCTTATACCTATACACAAATAAAGATAAATAAACTCGCTGTGATTTCCTTCTCATAAATTAAATAATAAAACTATAAAATAGAAAAAAAAAAAGGCCATACAAATACATATTATTGATATATATCAAGATATTTATAGCATAAATATCATGATATTTATCAAGATATTTATCACTGATATATATCCTGCCAACCCTGGCTGGTATTCTATGAAATCTTTGAAAAACTAGGGAGATCTGGCGAAATTTTGGGAGATTTTAGTGGGATACAGGAAATCTACGCTATGTAAAGGAAATCTGTGGATATTTATTTTATAATATCTCTTGTACACCTAAATATGTTGTGATTTGGTGAACTTACATTTACAAATGCAAATTTGGCAAGGAAAAAGTTGAAAATGTGGAAAAACTTGATTTCAGTGAGAACCAATGATGATTGTTAATCATTTAATAATATTCAACTTATTAGGTAAGTATTATGCCACACATCTTAGGAGGTTGATTAATAAAAATCGTCGATAATCTTTTATTCATAAATATTATTGGTTTTAAGCTTAAACTAATAATGAAAAATATATAGGTATTATTCCAGATCTAGAAGTGAATAATTCTTGTTTACTTACCCTTATCTTAGACTTATCTCCGTTAAGATTAGAAATATGATACAAGACCCCATCAAAATCCGCTACAGTTACATCTATGCTTTCGTTTTTTAATCTAGAACAAAAATAATAGAATTAAAGTCTTGCAGGGGGGATTTTGGGGTTGTCCTTGTTAACCAAACTAACCACATAAAAACTTTAATATGGGTCAACTTATTCAAGCTATAATTTAAGGTTTAAAAATTCATTACTAAATTATTAAATTTCCATTTCTATAATATCATTATATTACCCCCTAAGCATTCATTATTCAGAAAGCCTTGGTTTTGGGTGTTGTTGTATGACTCACTTGTTTCCTCTCAACTTCTGATTAAATTTATGAATAAACTTATCAATATAAAACAGGAAACGGGGCCGAATATTAATCGGAACTTACAAACGCCTCACTCAGCCAACAAAAAAAAAACCGGCCCAAACGTCCTAAATTAAAAAATAATGTTTCGTGTACCGAGAAAACTACTCACCCCGCTTGTGCGTTTTTGATTTTCAACGTGAGCGTGTCTTCCACTACCCTGTTATTTATTTCTAAAAGGATCATGATCACTAGGGGTTTTTATTAATTAAATATAAGTACTAATTTACAAATTATTTTTAAAAAGAAAATTTATTATTTTTTGACCCACGACATGGGAGGTGCAGATGAGCATCTGTCAGTGAATTGTCACTCAATATGAAACGTCTTTTAGTTTTGACGGTAATACAGATTCCTTCTAATTATTTGCTTAGATTTGGCATTTTAAAAAGAGATAGGTAGATTGTAGTACACCTTTCTACACTCAAAAAGTTTATTTTTCATTCTCAAATTATACTATTAAAAACTACATTATTATTTGCCTAATCTTTGAAAATATCTTTGATGCTCAATCCGGTTTTTTCCTGTTTACTTTGGGCCTTTTTAAAAGCCAAACTCAAGCTAACTTCTTCAGTTGCAACTGCCTCCTCTCTATTGCTTCTTTCTCGGTTTAAAACATCTATAGCTTCAACATAGATTTGTTTTTCATCTGCTTCCCCTTTATACTGTTGGCTGACTTTTTTGTATGTTTCAATAAACCTTTGCGTAAGACTTGGATGGCTGCTCAGTAAATTGCCTGTTCCTATTTGCTTGTTGTTGCGATGGAAAATTGCTCGAATTTTGTCGTCCTCGTAGAATATTTGCTTTATTTTCATGTCTGGGGCGGGTCTATCGAAACGGGGCTCCTCTTTAGGCGGAAAAGCCGCATAAACGTCGTACCAAACAGGACGGTCTTCCCAAGTTACTGCTTTTGCTTGCATCAAACCTGTAGCTCTAATGTTGAAGACTGATTAATAAATTGAATTTGTTTATACATTTATTTACCTAGTAAAGATTGTCCCTACTTTTTCTAATCTGCTTCCAGCCATTTAGATATTTTGGATTTCAACTTTTTAACTGGGGAATCTAAAAAAAAAAAAAAAATATATTTTGTTTTTAGGTTAGGTAAGGCGTAAGGTAAGACAGCGGTGGTGAAATTCGAGTAGACACTCGGAGTTGATATATTATTTATTATCCTTGTTTTTCTTATGAAAAGAAAAAAGATGAAAGATGCTCAGTCAGAACTCACGGAAGTCGATGTGTTGTTGATGCATTCAGTGGACGTAACCAAAAGAGCAATCAAGTCAAATGTCAAAGTAGTCAAAGTTTGTTTATCAATGGGGAAAATTTCAATTTGTGAGAATGTTTAAATTGTTTAAAAAAATATTAATTTAAGTAGTTTTTAATTAGTGAAAGCTTTGATAACATTTGAAAATTAAAGTTAAACTAGTTTCTTCGTGGGCCAATGGTCTTTGATTGATGAATTAATTAAAATTAGGTAAGTTCCTACAAAAACATTCATAATGTAGCTTTAAATTTCAACATTATATTATGAAACAATGTATAATTAGTTATCACATCACAAGTAATTAGTTAAACAATAGTATATTTTTCAACAAGTTTATAATAAAATAAATAATATTCACCACTGGACTCAGAGACTCGGAAGCGTGTTTTAAAAAATCATCTGAGTACTTGAATTGAATTATAGTTATTTGCGCAGTTAAAATATTAATGGAATATAATACTTATTACCAAAAAGAGTGTACCTAACAATTAACCATTAGGAATTGTTTTTTATTAGCAATATTAATTCCATAAAAACCCCTCAAAACTTGTTAAAAAGATGGGGTCTCAGAACTCAGAAGTTTCAAACAACAATTTGCATAAGCTTCTACGTCTCTGTTCAAAAATTCCAGGAAGCACTTTACTTAATAAATTTTTAATGATAAGTCATCATTAAAAATTACTTTGTATTTATATTTTGAATAGATTTTTAAGTGTGTTTTTTTTTTACTTGCAATGTTTTGTTGTGTAACTAGTTTTCAATTTGATTATTAAAAAGACCAATTATTTTATGTACAGGGTGGCCTATTTTCAATAGGTGGAAAACCATCAAAATATCAAAAATCCGAGCAAAAATCTACTTAGAACCACATTAGTTGAAATTTTAAACTCAATTTTCTGAATAACTATAAACCTAGAAATATTTTTGAATAGGTACACATTTTTTGAAGCCTAATGGGATCTATCAGTGTGTCCCGCTTAAGGACTGCCCACCCTTCTAAAAAATGTATTTTCTAAATTGATACTTATCTACTTGAATTTGGCACTTATTGATTAGGCTTATAACTTTATTTCTGCGGCTGTACTGGTGTACAGGGTGTCCACATTTATAGGCTCAAATTCGAGGGGTCAAGCACCTGTGGTAATAGGTGTACATTTTGGTAATAATTACGTAATATATTATGGTAATAAGACGTAATAATAATAAACAAATAAAGTTTTATTTCATGTAATAATTATTTCTAATAGATGGCAATAAAACATATTAACTCGTAATACAGGGTGTCCCACGGTGGATGGCGTATTAGGCGTTAATGGAAAACTAAAAAGCGGACTATTTTGAAAATTTGGCAACCGGGATAAACTACCATAATCTACACTTTAAAAATATTTTTGTTTATGCTGTGCTGCCGCTTCTACTCTAAACCAGTGTCAACATCTCTATTTCAAATGGAACACCCTGTATGTGATTGCACATTTGGATTCTACGTGAAATTCTGAGCAGATTTCATGTGATAAACCCTATACCTAAGTTCAACTGTTTTGGAAATATTGAAAGTTGAAAATTGACTTTTTGCAACTTTGATAGGCTGTAAAGCCTGAACGGCTAATTTTAGAGGAAAACCGATTTTAAATTCCTATCTTAGATTTCTATAAACTATCATTTGACACCAACTGTGAATTTAATCCATGATTAAAAATTCCAATTAAATTTAATCTCAGGTCAAATTCAAAGTTGGTGTCAAATGATAGTTTATGAAAATCTAAGATAGGAATGTGAAATCGGTTTTCTTCTAAAATTAACCGTTTAGGTTTTACAGCCTGTCAAAGTTGCAAAAAGTCAATTTTCAACTGTCAATATTTCCAGAACAGTTGAACTTAGGTATAGGGTATATTACATGAATTCTGCTCAGAATTTTACGTAGAATCCAAATATGCAATCACATACAGGGTGTTCCATTTAAAATAGCGATGGTGCCACTGGTTTAGAGTAGAAGCGGCAACACCGCATAAACAAAAATATTTTTAAAGTATAGATTATGGTCGTTTATCCCGGTTGCCGAATTTTCAAAATGATCCGCTTTTTAGTTCTCCATAAACGTCTAATACGCCATCCACCGTGGGACACCCTGTATATGGTAATAAAATGTAATAACTGGAAATAAAATGTAATACCTAATTACGTAATAACTCATAATAGATGGTAATGACCATCACCAGTAATATGTGGTAATAGATTAACGAAATGGTAATAGGTGTACATGAGGGGTATTTCACTCGGCTCCGTGTCATTTGCGCGACAGACGTTTGCGTGAGGGAGAAAAGCGCGATACGAAAAGCGCGAGGGACAAAACCACGACGGAACAAAAACGCGACTGGATAAAAGCGCGACGGACAAAAACGCCAGGTACAAAAGCACGACAGAACAAGAACGCGACTGAACAGAAGAGCGAGAGACAAAAACTCGAGGGACAAAAGCGCGACGGAACAAAAACGCGACTGAACAGAAGCGCGTGGAACAAAAACGCGACTGAACAAAAGTGCGAGGGACAAAAACTCGAGAGACAAAAGCGCGATGGAACAAAAACGCGAGGGACAAAAGCGCGACAGAACAAAAACGCGACTAGAATGAAGAGCGATGGACAAAAACGCGACTGGATAAAAGCGCGTGGGACAAAAGCGCGAGAAACAAAAACGCGACTGGAATATAGCGCGATTGGATGAGAACGCTCAACTATCTACGAGGAATATAGAACGCTTTCCAAAATACAAGACATTAAGACATTCTCAGTGGCTCCGGTTCAAAAGAGCGATATTTGAAATAGTGACATTAAAAAGGCGACATATTTTTAAAGCGATACATCAAAATAGCGATATTCAAAACAGCGACCTATTAAAATAGCGACATTCAAAACAGCGACATGTGAAAAAAGTAGCGACATATCTGTGCTTATGGATAATCCTCTTTACAACCACAATCAATTTTTTGATGTAAACTTTTAAATATCATTTTGTGTATTGTAATGTTGGTTCATGTGATTTTGAATATTTTGTTATTTGTTGCTCTGCGTGAAATGCTATGTAGTACTGTGTAATTTGTTAAAAAAAATCAATTTATTGTAACGACAAATGTACTTAATGTGCATATCTTTATAAATCTGACATTTTATTCAAATTTATTTAATATTTATAGTAATAGCTTTAATGTTTATACTAGTGTAATCGACACATCCAATATACCAATGTATCAGATGGACTAAGGATTGAATAAATAAATATCAAAAAAGCGACATTCGAAAGCGCGATACCTACTTGAAACAGCGACATTGCAGAAGAGCGACATATGTAAAGAAACAGCGACATCAACAACGGCGACCTCTAAGCAAAACAGGGACACAACAAATTGTATCAATAATAATCAAAAAAATGCAGACTACTCAAACTAACCCAAACTAACTCGTTCCCCTAGTGCGATCTTGTCCTCGTAAGTTAGCATTTTATTTGAAAAACAAGATTGACAGTTTTTTTAAATAAAATGCTAACTTACGAGGACTAGATCGCACTAGGCGGACGGGTTAGTTTGAGTAAGTCTGCAATAAAATGCTAACTTACGAGGAATAGATCGCACTAGGCGTACAGGTTAGTTTGGGTTAGTTTGAGTAAGTTTGCAATAAAATGCTAACTTACGAGGACTAGATCGCACTAGGCGGACGGGTTAGTTTGGGTTAGATTAAGTAAGTCTGCAATAAAATGCGAACTTACGAGGACTAGATCGCACTAGGCGGATGAGTTAATTTGGGTTAGATTGAGTAAGTCTGCAATAAAATGCTAACTTACGAGGACTAGATCGCACTAGGCGGACGGGTTAGTTTGGGTTAGTTTGAGTAAGTTTGGAATAAAATGCTAACTTACGAGGACAAGATCGCACTAGACGGACGGGTTAGTTTGGGTAAGATTGAGTAAGTCTGCAATAAAATGCTAACTTACGTGGACTAGCTCGCACTAGGCGGACGGGTTAGTTTGGGTTAGATTGAGTAAGTCTGCGTTTTCTTGATTATAATTGATTCAATTTGTTCATCACTTATTCTATAGTTCTAAGTAGGACAGCATGATAAACTTTATTAACAAAAGAAACAAAATAAATTAGTTAAAAATACAAATTATGGAATGCTAAGTTTAAATGGTTAAGTTAAAAGCTACTGCTTTAAGATGATTTTGGACGTTGGAGAAAGGGTATTCTTGGACTAAGTTTAACAATCGAGAATTAACTTGCTTATATTTTGAACTCCTCGCTGGGGTCCTTTATTTGTTGACAGCCATTTCAACAACGTTTTTGTCCCTCGCGTTTTTGTTCCGTCGTGCTTTTGTCCCTCGCGCTTTTATTTCTCGCGCTTTTATACAGTCGCGTTTTTGTTCCGTCGCGCTTTTGCTCTTCGCGTTTTTGTTCCGTCGCGCTTCTGTCCCTCGCGCTTTTGTTCCTTGCGTTTTTATCCAATCGCGTTTTTGTCCATCGCGCTTTATTTCAGTCGCGTTTTTGTTCCGTCGCGGTTCTGTCCCTCACGTTTTTGTTCCGTCGCGCTTTTGTCCCTCGCGCTTTTGTTCCTAGCGTTTTTATCCAGTCGAGTTTGTGTCCATCGCGCTTTTGTCCTGTTGCATTTTTGTTCCGTCGCGCTTTTGTCTGTCGCACTTTTTGTATCGCGCTTTTCTCCCTCGCGCAAACGGTTGTCGCGTAAATGACACAGAGCCATTTCACTCATGCAGT